TAAATTTAGGCTCTCATGTTAACGACGTTGAGTTACAATCCCTGTAAAAATAACTGACATTAAAGGTCACCGCAGCGACGACTGGGATAACCAATCAGTTTTCTCTGTTATAGCTTGGAAGGTGGCTTTTAAGAAAATGCAGAACTTTAATTGGTTATCTAGGTGGTCGTTAGGGTGGCTTGTAGAGTCATTCAAAAAAAGGACTGCTTAGGTCATCCCAGTAAAGACTGAAATAAGCAATTAGGTTTATTGTAGCTTGGTATTCATCATGGACTGACATCATTTGGAGGAAGATAGGAAGCTAGGAGCACTGGACATCTGTTTCGTCCTAGTATGCGACTCCTCAGAAGTGTGTACTCATGACCCCGTCTTGCCAGGGCTCGAAGCGAGGACGTTCAGGTCCCGCGGCCAGCACCTTACCATCCAGCCACTAGGTCGGAATCTAGTGGTTCATACTTCATAATTCTATCAGTTCACGATATAGCACGACTTCTATCCAATGTTGTCGTTGAGAAACTGTCCCTATGTTCGACTTGGTTGACCCCAATGGTCACTACTTTTCACTGGAACTTCGGGAATCACCTCTTGAAGCTAGTCACCAATGAGTATTAGATTAATTCAGTTTTGAGGTGACCAACTTTGAGAGATGAACAAAACTCAAGGACAATTATTAAATCTCCACAAACCTCTAAATTGAATTAATTTAATACTCATCGGCAACAGGCTTCAAGAGGTGATTCCCGAAGTTCCAATGAGAAGTAGTGACAATGGGGTCCAACCAGGTCGAACATAAGGACAGTTAATCAATGACGGCATTGGATGGAGGTTGCGATATGTTGTAAACTGATAGAAGTATGAATTATGAACCATTGGATTCCAACCCAGTGACTGAATGGTAACATGGTGGCCGTGGAACCTGAAGGGCCTGGTTCAATCCTGGGTTACGGGGTGATGGATGCGCACTTCAGAGGAGTCGCACACTGGGATGAAACATCTGTTCAGTGCTCCTAGGCTTGCTATCTTCCTCCATCTGATGTCGTTCCATGATGAATACCAACCTGGAGTCAAGGAATCCCCACAAATCTCAAAACTGAATTAGGTTTATTGCGGCTAGAAAGACAAATTTCATAGAATAAAGAAGTTTAATTGTTTATTTCAGTAACTGCTGGGATGGCTTTTAAGCAACTCAACAACTACTAAGGCAACCAATTACGGCTTTTAATATTAAAAAAAACTCACCTCCTGATCGTAATACCCAAACCTATAGTGGTCTTAAAGTCCCATCACTTTTGTTTGAGTGATTCTACAGGCCACACTAACAAATACTTAGATAAGCAATTAGAGTTCTGTATTTTCTCAAAAACTACCTTTCAAACTGAAATAGAGAAACTCGATTAGTTATCTCAGTCGTTCCTAGGGTAGCTCTTAAAGTTACTCCATTTTTCGAGTAACTTCAAGAGTGATTGAAGTGACTTTAAAGCCATCCTTATAACAACTGAAATAACCAATTAGACTTTTGTGTTTCAGCTGGTAAGGCAGATTTTCATAAAATAGGAAAGTTTAGTTGGTTATTCCAGTTGTTGCTAGGATTGCCTTAAAATCACTCGAAACTGTAACAGCCGGGTCCAGTTTTCTAAGATAGCCCCTTAGACTCACTTTTCACCAGTCAAACTGTTTACTTCACTTCACCAACTTGATTTTATTTCACATGAGTGTCTATTCTACAACACCAGAGTGTTTTATTGAACAAGATCATTTAAATAATCATCAAGTTTTAAGATTTGTTATTTCCTGTTGTTGATTATTTGGGTCCAAACTGATCGACCTTTGTAGGCAGAATGATAACTTGACTGAAATCCAGGAGGTGCGTTTCGTCTTATTTGTGACTCGTCAGCTAGATATACTTGTATCGAAAGTTAGTACGGAATACAGTTACTATAATCGTTTATGAATTGGATACCACATGCATTGCCGTGTAAAATTATTACTACCGAACTAAAAATAAGTGAGTTCAACATCAACTTTAATCCATCATACATCCACATATCATCTTGATTAATGACATTTTTACTGTACTGGGTGATGATTGAAAGTGAGATGAAAATCTGGACCGCAGCCGGATTCGAACCAGCGACCACCGGGTTACCGACCTGGTGCTCTACTAACTGAGCTCAGTTGGCAGAGCACTGGGCCGCTTTCATCTCACCTTCAGTCATCACTCAGTATAAATACTTGTCTACCAAACTGCGGCTATCTTAGGTAGTCAAATCGTAATGACATTTTGTTGGTGTTAGAAACTGACCCATAGTAGAAACGACTTGTATTTGTTGTGTAAAACTATCAACTAATGTGGATCTGAATAGTAACATGATGTATTCATATAATCTGAGTAGTAATGTATGCCATCTAAAAAGATATTGTAAATTTGTCTGTTGACTAGTAGTCTAGTTTATTTTCTACTAGTCAGTATCAATATGTGACCTAACATCACTGCGTAACGGTTCGAGTTGTCATGCTTCAAATCATTTCATCAAGTTACAAAGCAAAAGATGAAAAGAAAGAGAAATATACAAGAAAGTAATCCAGAGTTAGTAGGAAGTTATAAATGTCCAGCAGGTAAAACAATCATAGAATTCAAAGTGTAGATTTGTGGTTTATTGGCCTGGAGAGTTGACTTTCAACTATAGTGTCATGGGTCGGAGCACTGCTCCACCTACGAAGGTTGAAGCAGTCAGATAGTAGTATTATTAATCCTCACACAATAAGTGTGGCTCAGTGCCGACTGCATGAATGTACACAAGAATACTGAGTGGATTTCGTTCTTCTTCGACTTCATCAGGAAATTTGTTAGTATGATTAAAATCGGAATAACGTGTCATTGTTTGTTTAAGCATTACGCAAAATGTTCCTGCCTTTGTTTTCATTTTAAAAATATAGACTAAAATAAGAACCTTATGGAAAATATCAGAGAATAAGAGGTAAACTGAATGTAGGGATTTATAAAAACTACTGTTAAATTCATCAGAAGAAGTTACTTTAACCTGGGATTAAATGTAACTAAGGATATACTGTTATTTTGGAAAACGATCTACGAAACTCAACCAAGAATAACCCACATTATTGAGTAGAAAGTGACCGCCTGGTTAATAACCACTCAGTCAGAAAGAGTGGTAAAAATCTGAACTTTATATTCAGAAGAAACATGTTGAAGTTTGGATCATGCATCAGACAAGTGTGAGGAGTGAGGAGAGGGGAGATACGCTGGACCACGAAAAGAACCTAGAAGACTTGGATTTCGCCGCCGATGACTTGTGTCTAATGTCACACAAACTTGAAAATCTACAGGTGAAAACTAACAAGTTGGCAGAAGAGGCAATGAAGATAGGACTTCAAGTGCATATACAGAAGACAGAGGTAATGATGATACCACACCAACAACAGCATCAACAACAAGCTCCAATCACCATGAAAGGGAGAAACTTAAAGGAAGTAACCTCTTTCACCTATCTAGGCTGGGCAGCACTGTTTCAATTACAGGCGGCACAGACAAGGATGTCAAAGCACCCAGGATCAGAAAAGCAAGACAGGTGTTCATTAGCCTGAAACCAGTGTGGAGATCTACTTCACTGCACTCAACTCAGCACAAAGAACAAGATCTGGATTTTCAACACCAACGTCAAGTCACCGCTTCTGTATGGTTCAGAGACTTGGCGGCGCGTTACGGAAAGCATCCCCAACAAACTTCAAACATTCATCAACAACTGCCATCTACACTGGCTGGTTACTCAAGCCCAGATGGATTGCCAGAATTAACAACAAGGAACTGTGGTGTGGCAGGCAACTAACCAACGAAGCAAGAAGTTATCGCTGAACAAATATACACTGGAAGGAAGTGTAGATGGAGATGGATTGGGCATACACTGAGTAGACGGTTTTCGGGCATCACGCGCCAGTCCAGACCAGGCCAGTTGCTCGAGTGGAACCCCGATGGGAAGTGACGAGTTGGGTGTCCGAGGCGAGATGAGGGTGACATGGAGGAGATAGTACGAGGAGGAAATGAGAGGTTGTGGGCTGTCGCGGAGCCATGTTCAAAAAATTTCAGACAACAGAGGTCACTGGAGACGTGCTAGTGAAGCCCTATATTCCATTAGGAACCCAAGGGACAAATAATAATAAATCATCTGGACGCCTTGGAATTAGCCTGGTGGTGACATTTCAAAATGATCGATATAATTTTATCAGCACTTAGTACCAGATAATATGAAGTTGGTTACTCTTCAGTGACCAATCAATGTTCAAGTGTCCGATTGTAATATTGGATGATGTCGACTAGAATCTCTCAAGAGACATCATTTCCCTGAAGGTTACAGATATGTTCTTACTGGCGATGGTGGAAGAGCAGGAAACCTACGTCAAGAATTGCTTCCCCTTCAATTGCCCGCATCCAAGTAGTAACTTAACCTAATGTTCACTGTCAACGAAGGATTTTACCACGTCATAGTAAACAGATTAAGTAAAAAATATATTACCTTACCAGCTCTACTTAACTTTCGATTGCCCACAGGTAATATCAACTTGAAATAAAGTAATCGCTTAATCCTACTAGTAAACAGTTTAGTAAACAACTTAGCTGTTTTTAAGATTCCAATAGAAGAAAATATTCCTCCTAAAAAGAGAAGTAATGGGTATACAATGTGTGTCTGGAAATATTTCCTGAAATTCGGTACACAATTCAGCCCACCGAATTTTCTCATAGAAAGAGAGAATAGTAAACACTATTATTATTATTATTATTATTATTATTATCGTATGTGAATACTTATACCCTGTTTATATAGGTGAATCATTTGTTTATGTGAATCTTCCATTACTACAGTATTCCCCCCCCCATCATACCGTCTGTTATGTTTGTTCTAATGCTTTCCTCATTTGTTTTGTCTTAATTGTTCTGCCTTTTTTTAAAAAAATAATTTTTTTCTCTTATCATCATACCTTTCCAGTATACTACATATCAAATCATCTTCACATACAATCCATTATCATTTGATGGTAATCCAAAAGAAGTGGAATTCTCTATACCATGGACTGATGACTATTGGCATTTAGGAATATTAATTAAACCAGATAAGGTAAGGTTGGTTATTCCAGTAAATATTATACGCATATGAATGTTTCTACGCATAAATGTTATTCTCATCATGTTGTTTCAACAATTCAATGTTACTTTAATCAATATTACTTACTACCTTAAATAGTATCAATGTATGTATGTTATTTCTCTAGATTGAGAGGTAAACAACAGTTTACCAGAGGAAATAAGACTTGCATTTACCTAAAGAATCAAAATACTTGGTCTAAATATTTATCTCAGATGATGTTATATGCTGTCGAAATTTCGACAGTAAACTACATAATGTATTACCTTATTCTTTTTTTCTTTCTTCCCTCAGTTTCAAGTTATGACTCTTTTCGACTAAACTATAAACAATGCAAATCAACAAATGGATCAACACACCGTATAATAGATGTCTGTATAGTGGCTACCAGTGGGATCTGAAACTCTCAAGCTAGATGTACCTGAACTCCAGCAAGCCATATTCTTCTGAAATAATGGAGAATATTTATGGCTCAGGTGGTCTTGGTTGGGTGTATTGTATTCTCTGAGCTAGTTTGTTTAATTGTGAAGCTTTCATCGTCCTCTAGACGACATCATCAACACTAACTTCAGTATGAAGTGAGCTGACAGTATCTCTCCGTGAGTGTTTTAGTAGCTTGCCTTGAAAAAGCGGTCTATGATTGGTTGTCTCGTTTGATTGTTGTGTCATTGACTATATAGATTTTCCTGTTGGCTGTTCCTCTGGTTGACCTCTCACCTTTCTGTCATTTATCACTTTTCTCATTGGTTGATAGATTGGGTCTGTGTCTATTCATCTATTGATTGCTGACTGACTGACCTGAATAACAAGCTTCTAGAAATTCTCCGATATTCTTTGTGTTTCTTCTGTCCAAAATTTCTACATTGTCGAAATTGAATTCATGTTCATAATTATCCACGTGCATTGAAATGTGACGAAATATCGTCGCGTTTAATAGCCAATTAGTGTTCATGTAGACGAAGGTGAAGAGGGCGACCACTTTGTCCAGTGTAGTGTTGACTACAGTTATTACAGTTGATTTTGTGAATGATGTTCGGACGATGAAAGCTTCACGATTAAACAACGCAGCTCAGAGATCACAATACAACCACGATATTCTTCTCCTTGAGACTAGAATCCAGTACCCGTCACCTGAAGTACAAGTATCAAACAAAACTGATATCCGTTGCAAAAGAGTTTATTCTCGTTCCTCAGTGGTAAAGTAGATAACGCTTTGAAGTTCGTAGTAACGCCTACTGCATTCGAGTCACAGTTGGAAACCACCACTCAAAACATACTGAAAAAATCTTCTGTGATTGCTACATTTAGTGTATGTGTGATTGTTTGAAGCAAACTTGTACTGATACTGGGTGAGGATTGAAGATGAAATGAAAATCTGGCCACGGTAAAATCCGAACCTGCAGGTCACTGGTTCGAGTCCTGTCGTGACCCAGATTTTCACTTCACCTTCAATAGTCACCTAGTTAGTCTAATTTACTGAAAAAATATCATCATAGATGGCCCTGGATACCCACCATCCTATTTAGAAAACAAACAGATACTGACATCATTTGGGGAATCATTGAAAACACGAGAGCATTGGACAGCTACTTCGTCCTAGTATGCGACTCCTCAGCTGCACACACCCATGACCCACCTGGGGATCGAACACCTTCAGGTTTCATGGCGAACGAGTTAAGCATTCAGCCACTGGATCGGTTTCCAGTGGTTCACAATTTACAACTTGTGTCAATTCATGACATAGCGCACCTGTCACCTAAGGTCTTCAGTTAGCATCCACTTCACTTCCGACTGGTTGACCCCACAGGTTACGGCTTCTCATTAGAACTTCCTGATATCCCTCTGGAGCAAGTCACTAATGAGCACTATACAGTAATGTATTTTTGAGATGAATGGGGAATTTTTAATTTAGAAGTAGTATTCATCAGATGACCGGTAGTGTCAACCAGTTGGAAGGGAAGTGGATGCTAACTGAAGACCTTGGTGACAGGTGCGCTATGTCATGAATCGACACAAGTTGTAAATTGTGAACCACTGAAGGTCGAACCAGTGGCTGGATGGTTAACGTGTTCGCCGTGAAACTTGAAGGTGTTGAGCTCGATCCATAGCCGGGTCGTGGGTGCATACTGATGAGGAGTTCCATACTAGGACGAAACAGCTGTCCAATGCTCCCGTGTTTTCAATGATTCCCTAACTGATGTCGGTCCATGATGAATACTACTTCTAGATACTAGATATGTTTAGTCCTATCACGAACCTGCAAAGAAATATCGTATTGTAGTAAATAATTCACCAAAGTCCAGTGTTAATATAGAGCAGATTGAATCATTGATTAGGCGTGTTATTTTTTCAAGCAATGTCGATTTTTAACCCATATAACATTGAGAAGAGTCTGAAATGTGTAAATTTTGCGTACAGTCAAATAGATTCTGAACAAAACTTCATAAATTTGGATTTAAAACCGACTGTGGAAAGTGTATCCAAACATATATTTCTTAATAGAATAAAGTTTTTGTCGTTGACACTAGTGATGGCGTCTATCCTGATGATTAGACGTATGTCTGATCTTACTGAAAGCTGAGAAGATTACATCACTAACTGACATTATTTCAGTAGCTGTTGTAAGTCAAAAATAAGTAAAACAATGAAGGGCGGAATTTTGTTTAAAAAGTTATGATAAGTAACAATTTTTCATATCTGGGAAGTATCATGCTTTTTGGTTTTCTAGGTCCTCCCCAGTTTCCCAACTCGACCTAACGTCACCGACCATACTGATGGCTTCTAATTAGACTCATATGCATGTAAACAGTGTAAACAACAGGCCATCCACTCCTGGTAATGGAGAAGGGCCCAAAGTCCTGGGTATTTACCTGTATCTTCTTTGGTGGGATGGGATCGAGTGCCCAGCCCGGGTTAACCCGCTAAGACCAGCTAGTATCAGCCATAGTTATACGTGGTTAGAGGCAGCTATACTATAAGTTGTAGAACTTTACAGACTCCCACCTCTGCATTTAGACCCAAAGTTTTCAGCACAGTGACGGAGACACTCAGAGGTCTGGACGATTGAAGACTCATACAACTATTGTTGACAATCGCTTCCTCCAATTACTAATACTATCCATATAAAGATAGAAGCCATCTGAAGTAACGCTTGCACTAACAATATGATTCTATATGCATGTATATACTTTACTGTCTCTTCTGTTTACTAAAGTATTTTGTTTATACTTTTCACACGGTATTTTTACTGTTTTTTCTTCCCTTAATTTAGATTGATTTCTATACATCATGTGAAGAGACTGAAAGAGTCGCCTATCATTTCTATCCTATTCAAGGTTTACTAGGAGAACCGTTGTTTCGTAAGGGGGCAACATTTTATGCACTCAACAGTGGTTTATCAAATGCATCAGAATATTTTGAGGTAATTTGATGATTCTTTGGTAATCTTTTTGACATCCATTCTAAGCCTATTTGATTGTTTTTGGCTTGCTTTGATATACATAAAGGGATATTTAATCTTTCAATGTGCATATCTATCTAGAGTCAATGAGGATTACTTTTAGTGGAGCCGTAGTATATCTTTACTTAAGAATGCGTGATTTGTCACTGTTGTCCTGTTTGAGGCACTGAAGATATAAACAACGGTGATAATATATAACTGACAGGCATTTCTTAAAACATTAGAATTGATAAAAATTCCCCTTGTCATATTTGAAATAACCCTTGATGTTGTTTTTAAGGTTGAAAAAGGCTTACTGCTCAACTGTAAAGTGTTTCCCAATCATAAATCAAGCAGTCAGCTAGATCGAGATGAAAAAGTTGGAATAGCTTTAACATACTCAGATTCCCGTTTTTTACACTAAGTCATCTGTACGAGTATCCACATTCTAAGATTCTGTTTGCTGTACTTTACTACTTGGTTGTCATTTTGAGAAAATCACCATAATTTTTGCACTAATCACCAAACTTTTCTACAGATATAAATTATTGAGGGAGTTGTGGAGATTTGGAAATATTTCAAGCTGTTATTACATCGTAGACTGACATCAATCGGAGGAACAAAGGAAACCTGGGAGCACTGGACAGCTGTTTCGTCCCAGTATGAGACTCCCCAGCAGTGCTCACCCACGACCCTACTGGGTTCTGACCCAGTGGCTCAATAGTAACGCGCTGGCCGCCGCACCTGAAGGTGGCGGGTTCGATCCCTAGCGGGGTCGTTGGTTTGCATTGCTGAGGAGTCCCATACTGGGACGAAACAGCTGTCTAGTGCTCCCAGATTTCCTTTATTCCTCCAACTGATGTCAGTCTACGATGAATAGCAGCTTGAAGATATAAATTAATCAGAACAAGTCAGTAAGGATTGACAATCATTGTTTTTCAGATATTTCTCTATTTTTACTACTACATGATAACTGTTAGTAACTACTGTTACTTCCAGATAGTTATTCTTCACCACTTTAAGAAGAAATTAAAACTTTAGAAAAGAACATATTGGGGAAGAAAATTTGGTTACAAAAAGATACTGGAATTTCATACTGAGTGTACTTTAATACATGCAACCATATCCTTAGATATTACTAATGTTTGCAGCTATTGAGTAATTAATAGACTGAAATATATTTACATGGAAAAAGGATATGTAATAAAGCTTTATACCAAATTTGATATTGTATTCAACTGAAACCTTTCAGAAATAACTTGAGAATCACCATATTTATCGATCCAGGTTGTTCTGCAGTTATTTATGGAAGAAATAAATAGTTTGAACTTCAAATATCCAATAATCCTACTGTAAGAACTTACAACTGTCAATAAAGTCTAGTGAGAATAACCTCACTTACTAGGAGGCAGGTGCAACCAGCTAACTACTGAGTCCCGAATGGGAAGAAAGGCACATTCTGGATTTCACTGCTAGCCACTACCTATAACTGATAACAAAACTAAAAATACCGGCAGTATCGAGGCATTCCCGAAGGAGCCTATACGCCAATAGTGGACGATCAGTTCGATCCAACCAACGACGGAGAGATATAAGCTACAAAATCAACAAAACCATGCTATAGTCGTTCCACAGCTAGTGCCTGTTGTGACTCACTTGCCCACTAGACTACGTTCTGTGGTTCGAAGCAATCGGTCCAGAGTTCGAGTCCCAGCTGCACTGTGAGTCTCAAGAAGGAGAAAACGTGCGTCCTGGATTCCACTGCTAGCCAAAAGCCATCATCAATATATGATTGTAACACAGGCAATATCTAGGCGTCCGCGCAGGAGCCCATATGCCAATAAAGACCGATCAGTTCGGTCCACTCAACGACAGGTTACTACAAGCAACAAAATTAAAGCCATGCCCGTTACACAAGAAGTAACTATCATGACTCGCTGGTCTAGTGGATAACTCTATAGCGTTTGAAGCAACTGGTCCAGAATTCCAGTCCTGGTGGGAACAACAGTCACTAGGAGGCAGGTACATCTAGTTGAGGTATCTGAAATAGTACAAAACACCCATTTTGGATTCAACTACTAGGCACCATCCATCAATAGCATCTTTCAGTAATCATACTGAACTGTATAGAACGAAGTCAGTCTGGATGCAGTCTGCTGAAATAGCCTAGCAGTAGCATCCTTCCAGATTTTACAGAAATTTCCAGTTAGTTTACTTGCTGGAAAATGTATTAAGAAACGGTCGAATTACACTTACTAGTTTTTATCTCTTTTGTTTTGATGAATAAAAACACGCATAAAGTCATTTGCCTTTTTTGTTTGAATTCACCCTTTGTGTAATCCTTTTTGTTATTCATCTTTTAATTGTCAATGTTTTATAGGGATTTCTGAAAGCGTTCAGTTTCCACTCAGATGAAAATGCTATTCGTTATATGTGTACTAAGTCAGAGGTGAGATTATACTTTCTCATTTTATGTATTAGACTTCTGTTCATAATATCAATTAGTTTTAATAATATAAGATTTACCTTACTTTTTCTTGGTGAGCAAATACCTAATGAGTGTATATTTGCTTGTATACTACACCAGTTTAAACATTCAGTTCAACTATATAAGATAAGAAAGGTACACAGTGGGAAACAAGTTTTGTAAAGATTAAAAAACTCTTGGTTTAAAGATAGACACAGGGAAAACTAACGTATAACCTCCCACATAGATGCCTCGGTTCGATTTGTTACACGTCATAGCAACATACAAGGAACAAGAGTATAGAAAAAGAATGATATCAAAGTAGGTAAAGTTGTGTGACAGAATCAACAATTTGAAGACGAAGGTTAGTAGGAATATTCAAACTTTAGAAGACGCTGATGAGGGATTACATAGACTTCAATGTGACCGATTTTCAGCCATGTCACTGATATTTCTTAACTACTAATTCTTATTATCTAAGGGACTCTGTTCCCACACGCTTCAGACCAACAGCTAAGAACTTCATTGACTGGTACCATGTCTTAGTCTCGCCACCCAAAACCCTCTTCTAAGCTAATCCGACTTCCCGTAGCAGTGCATGTCAAGGTAGGTGGTGGTTTGGTATGCGGGGTATATATCTAAGCTATATCACTCGACTAAGGTTCACAACCTCATCGTTCCACTTGCTTGTCTTGTCTAGTACCCTTCACCTGATCTCAATATTCCCAACATGGTGATTCCACTAAACGTGAGTAATCCAACGATGACATCTGTCCTTGGAGACCTCTAACTATTTCATGGCTTCTACTTTTCACGACTATTTCAGGACAGAACAGACTACAATGCAGTATACTCGTTTTTTATTAGATACTTGGATAGTTTCTCAGTCGGTGCCACAGATGATGCAAGTTGACAAATGCCAAATGAACCTTCTATATCCAAGCTGATTTTTTCAGTAACCAGACGAACCGGGCTGATGTAACTCCTCAATTAAGTGAAGTGGTCAACACACTCCACCACTTCAGTTCTTATCAATAAACTGGGAGTAATTACAGATCAATCCTGGAGCATAATCTTATATTTGGTGGGTGTGAGATGCATACCAAACATACTCAGATTTCTGCTCAATGCATTTTTAGTGTCTTCAGCCAGCCACAGAATATTATCAACATACTTCAAGTCAACTAGATAACTTCAAGTGGATGGAATAGACCAAACCTTATGAAGTCAGATTTAACTAAGACCATATCCATTGGTGTAAAACATTTGTTTCATTGAAATTGATAAAATACTTTATGTACGCTGATTTGTCTGTAGGTTTATTTCGAAGTAAGACCATAGATGTTCTTATGTTCATATAATCGTCTGAAAAATTTGATAAAGATGCAACTTGATCATTTGGAGAATTTAATTCGCGAGTAAACGAACAGTAGCTCAAATATTAGTGTCCTGGGTAACCGACTAGTACCATTTGTACTTACTATTATATAATAGGTTAATAGATCAGTTCATATGGTTGCATAAAACTATGAAATATCCATATGATACTACTGATTTAATAAGCATTGATACACCTTTTTGCCGAATAATAATTATCATGGAAATAAATGGTTTATTAATGATGGAAAGTGGCTAGTAGTAGAATCCAGAAGGCGCGTTTCGTCCTATTTGGAACTCCTCATCTGGATGTACCTACACCTCAGTGACGGTGTAATACAAGCAATAAAACTAAATGAATAGTTTTTCACACTACTATAAAAGAAGAAAATAAGTAGTATCAAATCAGTCTTTAAAACATAATTAAAACACTGATTTTCTAGGTTTAAAAGGACCCCTAATTGTCTGCTTGTTCCAAAAAAGAAACATACAATATTTCAACTCTTATATTTCCTTCATTTTCCATAGCATAATCACTTACTAAGGTAAAAGTGATCCATTATATAAATAGATAATCGTTTGCTGGGATCTAATACTAAACATGAAAATCTGACACCATCTATAGGCAGTTAGTTCAGTTATATTTCTCTATAGTTTTTTAAACTTTTCACTGTGTTTCAGCAATGTATCTAAAATAAGATTAAATGTAAATAAAAAGTGGATCATCCTAACTATAACTATTCACATGATAACTTACACGAGTGAAAACGTTTCTTTATATTTTTATTACTTTTATTATTATTTGTCCCTTGGGTTCCGAATGGAACATAGGGATTCAGTATCATGTCTCCAATGTGCTCTGTTCTTTGAAATCTTTTGAACCTGGTTCCACGACTGCCTACAATCTGTCATTTCTTTCTCGCACGACCTCCTCCATGTCACCCTCACCTCGCCTCGGACACCCAACTCGTCACTTCCCATCTGGCTTCCACTCGAGCAACTGGCCTGACCTGGTACATGATGTCCCCGATCGGCCTTCTCACTGTATGCCCAATCCATCTCCATCTACACTTCCTTCCAGTGCATATTTGTTCAGCGATAACTTCTTGTTTCGTTGGTTCGTTGCCACAACACAGTTCCTGGTTGTTTATTCTTTTTATTCTGGCAATCCATCTGATCTTCAGTAACAAGCCAGCGTAGGCGGCAGTTGTTGATGAATTTCTATAGTTTGTTGGATTTCCCTTTCGTAACGCGCCGCCAAGTCTCTTAACCATCACATAGAAGCACTGACTTGACCGACATTGGTGTTGAAAATCCGGATATTGTTCACACTTTATGCTGAGTGCAGTGAAGTAGATCTCCACACTGATTTCAGGCTAATGAAAGCCTGTCTTGCTTTTCTGATCCTGGGTGCTTTGACATCCTTGTCTGTGCCGCCTGTAGTTGAGACAGTGCTGCCCAGCCTAGATAGGTGAAGGAGGTTACTTCCTTTAAGTTTCTCCCTTTCATGGTGATTGGAGCTTGTTGTTGATGCTGTTGTCGGCTGGGTATCATCATTACCTCTGTCTTCTCTATATGCACTTGAAGTCCTATCTTCATTGCCTCTTCTGCCAACTTGTTAGTTTTCACCTGTAGATTTTCAAGTTTGTGTGACATTAGACACAAGTCATCGGCGGCGAAATCCAAGTCTTCTAGGTTCTTTTCCGTGGTCCAGCGTATCCCCCTTCCCTTCCCTCACTCCTCACACTTGTCTGATGCATGATCCAGTCCAGTCCACCACAATCAGGAAGATCATGGGTGATGGTAGACAGCTTTGTCTTACTCTTCCCTGTCTTCACTGTCTCACTGAACTTCCCACAGTGAATTACTTGGCATGTGGCGTCTTCATATGCTTGTTGAATGAGATTGACAAAGGTTTGTGGTATTTCGTAGTGTTGAAGCAACTGCCAAATTACTTATCGGTCGACGCTGTCGTAGGCCTTTTCAAAGTCGATGAAGTTGAGGTAAAGGGCTGACTGCCAGCTTCTTTAAATCAACACTGGCAATTCCTTTGTATAACACTTGATAGAAGAATTTACAGTGTCACAAATTGTTTCGATCAACAAGATTCAATACTTTATTCAAGTAACTAATCCAACAACTTCTGAGCACTGGTAAATGTTCATCTATTTGTGAATTTGACACGTAATGAAGATACCACAAATATATTTTATGATGAATACTCTTTAAATACAAAAAAGATCCTAGATTAATCCACCTGCTGTGACCACATGCGAATAACTTTACAGATGAATGGGGATTTTTAATTTAGAAGTAGTATTCATCGTACACTGACATCAGTTGGGGAACCATTGAAAATCTGGGAGCACTGCACAGTTCTTTCGTCCTAGCATAGGACTTCTCATCAGTACGCACCCATGACCCGGCTAGGGGTCGACCTCAGGACCTTCAGGTTTCACGGTTAATGGTTAACGCGTTCGCCATGAAACTTGAAGGTGTTGAGTTCGACCCCTAGCAGGGTCGTAGGTGCGTACCGCTGAGGAGTCCCATACTAGGACGAAACAGCTATCCAATGCTCCCATATTTTCAGTGGTTTCCTAAGTGATGTCAGTCCATGATGAATACTACTTCTAAATAACTTTAGAGTTTCATAAACTGGTACAGACAGAAATGAAACCAGTTTCACTTACACTATGCCTAACTATCATTTTCAAATAAAACCTCAACTAGTCTAACTATTGGTCCAAACCCCCAAACTTCGAAGAATATTCAAGGTACTGTATTTTAAGTTTCTTAGGATACTATAATACTATATCAGCATGAGATAAGTCCAATTAACCTGAGGAAGTGTTCACTTTATCATAAAAATAGACAAAGAGCTAGTTGAAGTGATATTGAGTGGCTTCTTCATCTTCCCATCTACCTGAATCCCAAGTAAAATACCGACACTGTCAAAAAGAGTTTCAACAAATACGAGCATTTTCATTAAGTTCACTTAGATTGAACTAAGTACGAAATTCTACATGCTTTCAGAATCATACCTTTCTCCCGCCCCCTACAGCTATATACTTCCAGTCACTCTGTATTTAATCATTACTAAACCCAACCAGGATAAGACTCCTTCCATTTTAGATTTCTGAGAACTACTAAACTTTATAAGACTTCAGTTAAAAGTTAGTATCGGTTAGACGAGATCAAAGAAGACCATTCATCACAGACAGTATCCTTGATCTTTATACCTCAGATATGTAAACCCAATCACTAAGTAAGCCTAACAGCTTCGAAAAACCTCATACTTACAAAATAAATATTACATGAAATAGTAGGAGTAAAGAAACCTTTTTCAGAAAAGAACCTAAATTGACATTGGAAACGTGGATAAGTTTTCACTAGAGGCCTAAATCAACCTACTTGGTAAATGATATAAAGTTGTAGGCTAATGGCTTCCAATGATAAACTGATGACTCAGCTGGAACTAAACCTTTATATAAATTTAGTCCCGTACCATTTTATCCTTGAAGACCAATTCAGTGAAGGATAAGTGAAAGTTCTAAAAGTATTGTAGGTATTCAGATCAAATATAAGGCATAGTCATAACTATGCTCTGTAGACAAAAACGTGTTTCCTACTCACCAAATGTCTACTATTGCATTTCTGTAATAGACAGATAACCAGCTTAAGTAGTGAGGTCATCGCAATGGTCGAACAATAGGTTTGGATAACTAGCATGATGTCGGTCACCATAAAGCAAGTGAAAACCAATAACATTCTAGTACTGCAAATTTTTTCCCTCTGTTATCTTATTCCATCAATTGGTTGACAGAGAACACACTACAACAGTTTGCTAAAGGCAAAGAAAGAGGAAAACAATCAATACTCATTTTATGATTAGTGCAGTATTAGATCAGGAGTAAGACAAGACTGCAGCCTACTATCACCGATAATCCATCTGATTGTGGTCGACTCCACTCGACTCGACTCGACTGGATCATGCAGCAACCTGTGAGGAGGGAGAAGATGGGTATATGCCGTTTGAGAAGACCGATGAAAAGACCACAGAAGATTTCCATTTCGCCTCCGATGATGTTGATGATGATGATGATGATGATGACTCATGTTCAATGTCTTGTCGCACAAACTCGAAGATGTACAGGCGAAAATTACAAGTTGACAGAAGAGGAGAGGAGAGGAGAGGTGAGGCGAGGCGAGGCGACGCAGCGAAGGGAGATGGTACTCCCTTCAGGTGAACGTAGAGAAGACAGAGGTGGTGAAGATAACCAACCACCACCACCAACAACAACAACAACAACAACAACAACACCAAGCAGCAACAACAACAACGATAACATCATCAACCAGCGATCATCATCAATGGGAGAAATCTAAATGAAGTTGTCTCATTCACCCACCTACCTAGACTGGGTGGCATCCTTTCAACTACAGGTGACGGTATCTGCGGCTGCGGTTGTGGCTGTGGTTGTGGTTGTGGCTGGACAGAAGAGGATGTCAAAGCAGCCAGGATCAGAAAGACAGCAAGACAGGCTCTGGTTGGCAACGAACAAACAAAGAACCTATCACCCGACAAATATGCAGAAGAAAATGAAGACGGACTGGATTGGATATACACTGAGAAGACGATTTAGGGACAACACACGCCAGGCCGTCGAGTGGAACCCAGATGGGAAACGATGAGTTGGGCTTCCGAGTTGAGGGTGACATGGAGGAGATGGTGTGAGGAAGAGATGAAAGCTTGTGGGGAGTCGTGGAGCGAGGTTAAGAAGAATGCAGAGAAGAGACTGAAATGGCGACGTGCTACTGAATTTCTATGTTCCACTAGGAACCCAAAGGACATGTAATAGTTCTAAATTATAATGTGAGATAAGATTATACAGATCCGCATACGAAGCGCTAATTCCCTGAAGCCTTTCGCAACCAATCAGGTTGGTTCGAGGTTACGAGGAAATGCACATGCACATATGTGTAAACATCAGATTAGCTGTAACGTCAAAATCAATAGTATGTGCAATTCTAGAAAGTCAAGGCCACTGTATATATATATATATATATATATATATATATATATATATATATATATATATATATATATATATATATATATATATATATATATATATATATAGCAGGTCAAAGCGGTTTAAAGTATATGACTGGGATAAAACTCTCCAAGCATATATACAGTGGGAAATTCGAGGTCGGGAGCAATGAAGATATCTTATTGGTGTACACTACAATTCGACGAATTTATTAAGATATTACTAGTGCTCACTAGTGACATGCTTCGAAATGTATTTCCTAAAGTCCTAATGAGAACCCGTGACCTATGGAGTCAACCAAGTCGGATGTAAGAATAGATACACACCAACAGCATTGGATTATGGTCGCTTTCTTTAGAAAATGTGTAGCACTGAATACCGACCCCATGGCTTAAAGGCGCTCAGCGTGAGACCCAACCATCCTAAGTCCGATCCCTAGTGAAGTCATATGTGTGCACCACTAAGAAGTTTTATACGAGGGTGAAATGGTTTTCCAGTGCTCTCAGGCTTTCAGTGATTATCTGAATGATTCCAGTCTAGGATGAATACTACCGTGAAATAAGGCACAACTGTTTATGTCGGTCAGTGATCTATTTCACTAACTTAATCTGACACTTCAATATCACACAGATTTTATCCTGGTAACTCAGTGTGTGAAATATTGTCACATCACTCTGGGTGGTCGGAAAAAAATGAATCATAAAAAGTGATTCAAAAAAATAGGCAAGAGTTTTTTTGAAAAATTGACCTGAGTTCCGTTGATTCTCACCAAATTAATTAAAGTGACATCTTGTCAACCCGTTGTAATCAACAAGATTAAACCATAATTTATAAAGAACATCATATTCAGTGAAGAGACTTTTTTCAACGAATTTATCTCAAGCTGTGCATTCGTATATATATATATATATATATATATATATATATATATATATATATATATATATATATATAAAAGAAGTATGTACAGTGACTGCTTTTACCATGACCATGACATTTTCGCACCCCCACTAGTTCACCCCCCCCTTCTTTGTTAAATTAACCTTCATATCCTTCCTTTATCACTATTAATGTTACTATAATTACCTTCACTTTGATCAGTTGTTGTTTCACCTAATTTATCAATGATGGATAGTGGCTAGAAGTGGGATCCAGGACTCGAACTTGAGACACATATTGGTAAAGGCCCTGGCGTTTAAAGAAATCGCTCTAGAGTTCTAGTCCTAATGGTAACAACATTACTCACTGAGAGGTAAGTACATCCAGCTGACCAGTGAGTCCTGAATAGGATGGAACACGCGTCCTGGATTCCACTGCTAGCCAGTAGCCATCATTAATATATGATTGAATATAGATAATAACGAGGCATCCGCGTAGGAGCTCATATGTCAATAGAGACAGATCATTTTGGCCGACTCAACAACGGGATAATAAAGCCAACAACATTCCACCTAATTGTCTTAATCTTTTCAGAAAACAGTTATCTCATTTTGACTAACTTGTCTAATCCTATTACATAATACTTTATTGATTTACTACTTTCATCATTTTTTTCACCCCTTTTTATAGGTTATATACGTTCTATGAACCACTTGATATATTGCGTAATCTACTTTGTTATCATTCATACTTCAACTGTTATCATAATCACAAATACCTATATCATCATCCATTTTATTATTATTTTCATCATCATATTAGTGTTTAATTTTGTATTGATTGGTTACGGGAGACCAACCAATTTTATGTCGTCTAGTCCTGAATGCAGATTGAATCCTATCGATCATATTTACAATATCGCCATCAAACTAGGAGGCTCATCATGGTGGTGCACATTAGTAGGTGCTAAATGATTGGAGGCAATCGACAGGAAACCCTGCTCAACTTAGGTTCCGTGCTTATTGGCACTTGTCAGCAAGGTGTATTTGAAACTCTGAATCTGAGGTGGGACATCAGTTCCGTCAAGGTTGCAGATACACCTTGCTGACAAGTGCCAATAAGCACGGAACCTAAGTTGAGCAGGGTTTCCTGTCGATTGCCTCCAATCATTTAGCGCCTACTAATGTGCACCACCATGATGAGCCTCCTAGTTTGATGGCGATATTGTAAATATGATCGATAGGATTCAATCTGCATTCAGGACTAGACGACATAAAATTGGTTGGTCTCCTGTGACCAATCAATACATGTAATTCAGTCCTACAGGAGGTCGGTCTTGGTCCAAATAGCTCATTGGTAAAGACCCTGACTACAACGCTAGGTGATGCAGGTTTGAATCTCTGGAGAGACATCAGTTCCCTCGGGGTTGTAGATACACCCTGCTGACGAGCGCCAACAAGTACGAAAACTAGGTCGAGCAGAGCTTCCTGCCGATTGCCTCCAACCAACTATATCTACCAGTGTTTAACTTCTTTCACGGGATATAATCTTTTAGATATCGCCAATATATATATATATATATATATATATATATATATATATATATATATACGAATGTACAGCTTGAAAAGCATTTCTTTGAGAAGAAACTCTTCGCTGAATATCTTCTTCCTAATGTTGAAATGGGGAACATTAAATAATTTGTTAAGACACTCTCAATTATTTTATCCAGTAAGTTGACCATTTATAAATTTCCTCCACCTTTCACATTTGTTCTCTTCACTCACTTGTCATTTGTGTTCCTCTACATCCTATGTTAAATCTCTTCAGAATTATGAAGGCAGCGGTGAGGCAGATCGTTTCAACTATGATCCAGAGTTCGGAATGTACTAATTGTAAGTTTCAGTTACTAGATTTTATTAATATGATCGAGAATATTCATGCTTAAAGAGGATGACTTTGCTGATGTTGTGTTTCCTGAGCTGAATAACTCAATCTACGAGTGATTTCGAAGGCCATCCTAGCAACTTCTGAGATAATCAATCACGTTTCTTTAATTCATGATAAAATTTACTTTCTAAACGGAATACTGAAACCTGATTGGTTATTTCAGCAGTTACTAGGTAGCCCCTTTAAAGTTAACGCAATCTACCGACCATCAAGAATCAATCAGGTGAGAGGTCATTTCAGCAGGACAGCGAATCAAAATAAATATGGCGATAAAAACAAAAATTCACACCCATGATCATCAGGACAATCTACTATGCCATCTATACAGAAAATTCCATAACTCACTTCTTAGGTTTGTATTGATGATGTTGTCTAGAAAAACAATGAAAGTTACACGACTGAGACCATTCAGGTCACAGAAGACAATATCAATGTATCAAATTATGTTTATTAAAAGTACCCCTTTGTTCTCTATGTTTTTTTTACCTAAAAATTAGTAGTTGGGGTGATTTCAAAGGCCAACATAACAGTTGCCAAAATAACCAATCAGGTCGCGATATTTTGACTGAGAAAACAATTTTTCATAGAATAGAGAAATATGATTGGCTGTTTCATGAGTTGTTCGGGTGGCCTTTAAAGTCACTGAATAGTTATTTAAATTAAAAGCTGAAAATATGACCTAGTTTTGGTTGATTGTTGAATTTTACTGTGAAAACAATCATGAACTATTAACACTGTAAGTGAACTTAAAATGGTTATCTACATTGACTGATTAACTTTGATATGTTTTGTCTACGAAGGTAATTAAAATTTAGGCGTTGTTTGCCCTCAAATTTAGACTGCTATATCAACATCTCAATTGAGATAGTCAGTAGTTTCTGATTACTGATATTATACTCTGGAGTCGCGTTCAAGTTCTATTTGTATACCATAGTCAGTATCGTACGTATTGTTATGTAAGCTCTCTGTAGCTTGACTGACATTAATAGCCAGTATTCCGTTCAAACAGAGTGTGAAATGAGTAGTTTTGAGCGTGCCAAGTGAAGTACAAATATATCCACTGAAAAACCAGTCACTGACTTATCAGCTTAAAGCATTAACCGGGATACCTTTTTTTACAACAATTGTTTTTACTGGGCAGAATCGATTTATGTGGATACATGGACAAATTTATGTTTCTAGGTCGATCAAAGTAACCGACAGAAAGTGCTGCTTCATCTAGCTTCCATCAGTTTCGGCGTTTATTGGAAAAGTGTATCTTAATAGAGTGCAAACAGAGTGAATATAAACGCCATTCAAGCAAATGCAAAATAGACCAATCAGGTTTCGGTATTTTGACTATGAAACGTATTTTCTATCAAACAAAGCAATGTAACCAGCTCTCCCATCAGTTGCCAGGCTGGCCTTCAAGCCAACAGAAACAACGCCTCAGTGGTTGGAATTAAATCCTATCACATACAATTGAGTTTTAAGGCAAACACAACAACTATTGAGGTAGTCAATTCTTTAAAAATATTATATACAAATCAACATTCACAGCTGAAACACAAAAGAAAACTGTTAAATATACCGCCGGTAACGAAGCCCACAAGGTTTCCTCATATAATAGACAGACCACGCCGGTAAAGACGTCACTTAGACAACTAGTTAACGAGTTAGTAGCCGGCCGTAAGCCCGGATAAAAAGGGAAGGTTCAGCATACGGTTAGAAACCATACACTGCAAAACTAATCCAATCGCAGAAGAAACTCTAAAGCACAAAGAAAATATTAAAAAGAGAAATAAAATTATTCCTCACTGCAATCGGAAAGAAGAAATGACGCCAGCTGGTGAAAGCATTCAAAAAGCCAATTCGCTGATGTCTCACCTCTCTCTCTCTCTCTCTCTCTCCATGAACGCGAAAGTGAGAATGGAGACATGGAATGTCCGCACAATGTTTGAAGCTGCCTTGCTAAACCTCACACATTGCCAAACAGATGAGAAGGTGAAACATAGAAGTGCTTGGAATCTGAGAGGAATCCACAGGTGGAATGGAAGTGAACTCTCCAAAATGTCAACTGGAAACGAGTCAATAATCTACTCCGATATTGTCACCCAAACGACAACCTCCTGCACAGCACACTGAGTTTTCGAGTGACTACCATGATGTCCTCAACAGCATCGAAGGCTCTCTCTCATGCAGTGAGAAACAATCTCCTCCAGCATCGGCATCGTGACACCAAGATTCAACTCAGAGGGAAGGAAGGTCACAATCACACAATGCTACGCTACCCCACTCTACACTACTCACCTACAAATAAACAATGCAGATGAAGAGAAGAAGGAGGAATTCTACAGACAACTGCAATCAGTCAGTGCTGGACAACACCCCACATCAGTTGGCGACATCAAAATGCATTCTAATGGGTGGAGTGACATCAGTGCCTAACTGGGAGCAGATAACACAGAAAGAGAACTTATCGTGGATCGAGAAGTACTCGGTGAAATGATGAATCAGAATGGAGAACTGTTTGCGGAATTCTGCACCTTTAATGATTTGGTGATTTGAGGCACTGTGTACAAACAAACACAAGGATATTCGAGAAGCGACTTGGATTTCACCAGATACCAGGACACACTAAAAATCAGATCGACTTCATCTCTATCTGAAGAACACACACTAGATCAAGAAGATGAGCAGATGCAGATCCACTCCACTCCACTCGACTATTTAGTGCAAGGAACCTATCTTCAAAATCAAGTTGAAAGCCTTCAATTCAGAGAAGTTGATGACAGACGACCACAGTTCAAGTTGAACACCTAGAACACAAACTGCAGTGAAGCACGAAACTACAAAGGACATCTTCACGTCGGCCAGCCATCAGGACAGAATGCGAGATATTGAACAACATCCTCGAAGAGACCTGTGTGGAAGAACACTGGAACTCTTTGAAAGCAATGTGGAGAGAAACCTGTGTAACCGTGTTAGGAAGGAAGAAGAAACGAGGCAAGGCAATGCAATGCAAGGCAAGGAGTGGAATGGAATGGAATGAATCTCGACGGACACATGGAAGCTGATAGAGTAGGGAGAGGAAGATGGTGATGGTGATGGTGATGGTGATGGTGATGGTGATGGTGATGGTGATGGAGATGATGATGGTGATGATGATATAGTGATAGTGAAGCAGAAGATAAACCAGTGAAGTGTAGTGCAGTGCAGTGCAGGGATGAACAAGGAAAAGAGGAACTGAACACAACCCACAAAACACTACAATGAACAAGGAAGTGAAGAAGAGTGCGCGCAAACACAAAAGACACTTCTACGACACACTGGCAAGTCAAGCACAATAGGCTGCAGGTAGGAGGAACACAGACTTGACAACACTATGTCAAATAACCAGGTTACTATCTGGGAGGGCAGCGATCAACGCAGATGAAACCAATGAAGGAAACCTAGTTACAGCCAAAGAGGAGACACAAAGGGAACGATGGGCTGATCACTTCAAAAAACTCTTCAACCGACCACCACAACAACCACCACCACCACCACCTGCAACTCGTCCACAAATACCACCAGCAGCCCACCCACAGAACTATCAGTGAACACATCCCCTCCGACAAAACCAGAAGTGAAGTCCTGAACACCACACCATAAACTTGCTGAAATCCGAGAAAGCAGCAGGACCGTATGAAATTCCGTCAGAAGCACTGGAAACAGACGCACAGACAACAGTGGACACGCTCACCACACTACTACAGAAAGTTTCCAACGAAGGAAGGAAGGAAGGAAGGGAAAGTACCTGCTGATCGATTCGAAGAAGGGCTACCTTGTCAAAATTCAAAAGAATGGCAACATAAGTCTTTACATGAACTGACACGCATTCATGCTCCACCACTGTCCACCCCTAGCAAACTAAATATTATGCCCGATCATCCTGGAGAGACTAAAACATGCACTGGATTCAAAACGATGACCGGAACAGGCTGGCTGACTGCGTTCAGGAAGAACAAATCATGTGTGGATCAAATTGCAACACTACGCTACACATCATCACAAAACAGAGCATAAAATGACAGTCAAATCTCTACCTCAACATCATCGATTTTGAAGAGGCCTTCGATCGAGGCATTGACCGACAAGTAATTTGGCAGGCAGCTGCTTCAACACTACGGTTTTAGTATCACAAACTTTGAGAAACCTCATTCAACAACAGCTATATGCTATATGATGAGGCTACATGCCAAGTGATTCACAATGGAAAGCTCAGTGACGTCTTTGAAGTGAAGTCGGGGAATAGGGTTAAGACAAGGCTGTAGCCTACTATCACCGATGATCTATCTGATTGTGGTCGACTCCACTCGACTCGACTCGACTGGATCATGCAGCAACCTGTGAGGAGGGAGAAGAGAGGTATATGCCGTTTGAGAAGACCGATGAAAAGACCACAGAAGATTTCCATTTCGCCTCCGATGATGTTGATGATGATGATGATGATGATGACTCACGTTCAATGTCTTGTCGCACAAACTCGAAGATGTACAGGCGAAAATTAACAAGTTGACAGAAGAGGAGAGGAGAGGAGAGGAGAGGTGAGGTGAGGTGAGGTGATGTGAGGTGACACAGCGAAGGGAGATGGCACTTTCTTCAGGTGAACGGAGAGAAGACAGATGTGGTGAAGATAACCAACCACCACCAACAACAACAACAACAACAACAACACACCAAGCAGCAACAACAACAACGATAACATCATCAACCAGCGATCATCATCAATGGGAGAAATCTAAATGAAGTTGTCTCATTCACCCACCTACCTAGACTGGGTGGCATCCTTTCAACTACAGGTGACGGTATCTGCGGCTGCGGCTGCGGCTGTGGTTGTGGTTGTGGCTGCATAGAAGAGGATGTCAAAGCAGCCAGGAAGTATTGGAAGGACAGCAAGACACGCCTTTCTGCATTAATCTGGAATAATCAGTGTGGAGTTATACTGCACTCCAATGCACTCAGCATAAAGCGTGAATAACATCCGCATTTCAATACTAATTCAGTCAAGTCAAGTAAGTCAGTGCTTCGATGTGATGGTTGAGAGACTTTGCGCGTTACGAAAAGCATTTCCAACACAGTACAAACATTCATCAACATCTGACGTCTACACTCACTCGATACTGAATATTAGATGGATGGGAGAAAGACTGAGTGAGAAGGAGCTGTGGGTACGAACCAACTAAGAACCTATCGCCCAACAAATATGCAGAATGGTCACTATAGCCACTATTGAAATAACCAATGACGCTTCTCCATTTCAGCATAAATGGAAGATTTTCATAAAATAGAAAAGTTTAATTGGTTATTTCAATTGTTTCTAGGGTGGCCTTCAGAATGAATCTAGGCAACCATTTAGATAGCTCTCGAACGTGAATGTTATCCTGTGTATTATATAACTTGCAAACACTAATTTGAGCTCCAATCGTATTTACGTATGTGTGTACATATTACACTTTCACTGGGTACTAAGATAAGAAGAGAACTTTATTCATATTTTGATAACTTTCAGTAATTTTCCAGTTAATATCCATCTATCACTAGAACTTGTGTTCAAATATTTTCTTCAGAATATACTTTCCAGGTCTTTAACTTTGAAAAATATTTTTATGTTATCAGAGTGATAAGGATAACTACTTTCAGTATGAAAATATTTTGAACTGGTGCTCATTGGTGACTAGCTTCGAGAAGTATTCCCGAAGTTCCAATGACAAGTTGTGACCGTTGGAGTCAAAGCCTGATGGCCATGAGGACAGATACTCAACGATGACATTGGGGGGCGGTTTGCGCTATATCGTGAGCTAACAGAAGTTGGAAATATGGAGCATTGGATTGTGACCCAGTGGCTAGCTTCATGGTAACGCGCTGGTCGCGGAACCTGAAGGTGGTGGGTTCGATCCCTGCTGGTGGGGTCGTGGGTGCGCACTGCTGAAGAGTCCCATACTAGTTGGACGAAACAGCTGTCCAGTGCTCCCAGGTTCCCTTTGTTCCTCCAACTAATGTCAGTCTACGATGAATAACAACTTGAAATATTTTGTTGTTCATAGAATAAAAGCAAAATATCAAATGATGATTTCTCTTCCTTTTTTTTGACCAATGATCATAAAACTTTGTTTCATCATGTTTTACGTTGATATTTTAAAAAATTCAATTACTTTTAACTGTGATTTATTTATTCATCTATTAATAGTTGACATGAAATGAAAAATCTATAATTAAAAATATTTACTAACAAAATTTATTACAGTTTGCCAAAAAAAATCACATCGATTACACTAAAAACGTTTATACGATACAATGATGAACTACATTTACCAGATTCCATCTTGATAGAAAAACCAGAAGATGAAATAAAAGTGTTAAATCATTTTATTCCGTGTAAATAAAAATCAATATAGGATATAACTAACTTAGTTGTGAGTAGCAGTAGAATCCAAAACGCGTGCTACGCCCTATTCAGAACTCGTCAGCTGGATGTACACACCCCCCCCAGTGAGTGATATTGTTCTCACTGAGAATCAAACCTCATACCAATTGCTTAAAACAGTGAAGCGTTATCTATTAGGCCACTAAAGCGCGACAGCCACCTTTTCTGAAATCGGTATTAGTTATTATTTTTTTGTTGACACTGGATCAGATTAATCAATTTTTGTTGGCGATTTCGAGGTATCCGCATTGGAGTCCATATGTCAACAGAAGTCGATCATTTCTAACCAATATAACAACGGAGAGTTACAAGACTCAATAAATAATAATTACTGTCGGATAGTTTAACATTTTGTTTGCTCTACTAAAGCCTTGAGATTTATAGCTCACTGAAGAATGTAAAAACAATAAGTCGAAAATGAAGTAGCATATAGTTCAATTCTAAGTGTTCAACTTAATATAATCAAGATAGTAAGTGACCATTACCAACAACAAACTGCAATCACATGAACGGGAGAAACCTAAAGGAAGTAACCTCTTTCACCTACACCTACCTAGGCAGCACTGTTTCAACTACAGTCGGCACTGACGAGGACGTCAAAGTCAGGATCGGAAAAGCAAGACAGGTGTTCATTAGCCTGAAACCAGTGTGGAGATCTACTTCACTGCACTCAACTCAGCACAAAGAACAAGATCTGGATTTTCAACATCAACGTCAAGTCACTGCTTCTGTATGGTTCAGAGACTAAGCGTGTTACGAAAAACATTCCCAACAAACTTCAAACATTCATCAACAACTGCCACCTACACTGGCTCATTACTGAAGCTCAGATGGATTGCCAGAATAATAAGAATAAGCAAGAAGGAACTCTGGCTGGCTGGCAACGAACCAACGAAGCAGGAACCTATTACTCAACAAATATGCACCGGAAGGAAGTGTAAATGGATTGGGCATACACTGAAAAGGCCGATTGGTGATATCACATGTCAGGCCAGGACGTCGAGTGGAATCCAGAGGGGAAACGAGGAGTTGGGTATCCGAGGTGAGGGTGACATGGAGGAGGTGGTGTGAGGAGAAAATGAGAGGTTGTGGGGTGTCGTGGAGCCAGGTTCAAAAGATTTCAGAGAACAGAGCACATTGGAGACACGAGACTGAATCCCTATGTTCCATTCGGAACCCAAGGGACAAATAAATAATAAGTGACCATTGTCTTGTTTATGTTCTCGTTAATGGATAATAACACTTCAATTAAACTAATTGAACTGCAGAACTGTACACCGTGGCCTTCGTTTAATCCCTATTTCTAGGCAGTGTAGTAATAAAGTGAATTATAAACTTACTATGCCAAAATAGGGCTGAAAAATGCAGTAGGGGGTTGAATAGATAACGTATGTGGTTGTAACAGAATTTTCCTGACTTGAAAATATCATCGGAACAGTTAGGACTGAAATTTTAAAGAGTACCAGAGTTTTTGCTGAAGTAATCTATCATCACGATACTTCTCCTTGTCACAAACAGGAACTTTGAAAACTCCACGACAAGAAATTTAATCATGATGCAGTCAGCTAACCTAGGAAGACATAATTTACCGGTTTTTTAAGCACAAACCGATATCCTTAATATACTTTTTAATGAGTGGTGAAAATCGGTTTCTAGACTATATTTTAAAGGTTGGGATGTATGCATGATGAGAGAATTTGGGTTCTGTGGTAAGATGATTCTCTGTATAGTGAACCAACTCACCAACATGAAATGCTTTGTTAGTCTGAGACTTTCTAAAACAAATAGTTTTATAATTGACATTTCAAAGCTTCGTCACAGGCAACTGATTTTATTTTTCAGTATTTGTCCCTTGGGTTCCTAGTGGAATATAGGACTTCAGTAGCACGTCACCATCCCACTCTCTTCTCTGCAGTCTTCTTAACTTGGCCCCACGACTGCCCATAAGCGTTCATCTCTTCCTCACATTATCTCCTCCATGTCACCCTCACCTCGGATGCCCAACTCCTCGTTTCCCCTCTGGATTCCACTCGAGGGGCTTGGGCGTGATGTCCACGAATAGTCTTCTCAGTGTATTTCCAATCCAATCCATCTTCATTTTCTTCTGCATGTTTGTTGGGCAACAGGTTCTTAGTTGGTTCGTCCCCTGTTATGGTTTCGAAAGCTAATAGATATGTATATATATGTTTCAGAACGAATATAATACGCGCGCTTAGCTGACAACCAACCTAGTACGCAAGATCCACTGACTGCAACCCCGGAACGAACAGAGAGAAGACCGAAGCTGGCAGATGGGAGAGTGTATTACTCCGAGAATATAACAATGAATCAATCCAAAACACATGAATAAGTATACACATGAAAAATGATTTTGTCCGCAATTGGAGAAATTCGCATAGTAAGAGTAAAAGTTGACCAATCAGCGAATTACATTACAATGGAGGCAGAAATAGACTATTAGTCATACCGTAAAAATAATGTGGGAATGACACGTTAAAATATTCAGATAAATAACAATGTTTTATACTAGATTTGGGTATCACAACACCTCCCCCTTTTTGAAAAAAAATCAGAAAACTTAATACCTTCGCAGCTGTTGATGAATGTCTGCGCTTTGTTGGAAACGCTTTTCGTGACGCGCTAAGTTTCAGAACCATATGGCAGCATTGACTTGATATTCAATGTTGAAAATCTGGATCTCGTTCACGCTTTATGCTGAGTGCAGTGGAGTGCAGTATAACTCCACACTGATTATTTCAGCTTAATACAGAAAGGCGTGTCTTGCTGTCCTTCCAATACTTCCTGGCTGCTTTGACATCCTCTTCTGTCCAGCCACAGCCACAACCACAGCCACAGCCGCAGATACCGTCACCTGTAGTTGAAAGGATGCCACCCAGTCTAGGTAGGTGGGTGAATGAGACAACTTCGTTTAGATTTCTCCCATTGATGATGATCGCTGGTTGATGATGTTATCGTTGTTGTTGTTGCTGTTTGGTGGCGGTTGGCTATCTTCACCACATCTGTGTTCTCTACGTTCACCTGAAGAAAGTGCCATCTCCCTTCGCTGTGTCACCTCACATCACCTCACCTCACCTCACCTCTCCTCTCCTCTCCTCTCCTCTTCTGTCAACTTGTCAATTTTCGCCTGTACATCTTCGAGTTTGTGCGACAAGACATTGAACATGAGTCATCATCATCATCATCATCATCATGATCGGAGGCGAAATGGAAATCTTCTGTGGTCTTTTCATCGGTCTTCTCAAACGGCATATACCTCTCTTCTCCCTCCTCACAGGTTGCTGCATGATCCAGTCGAGTCGAGTCGAGTGGAGTCGACCACAATCAGATAGATCATCGGTGATAGTAGGCTACAGCCTTGTCTTAACCCTATTCCCCGACTTCACTTCAAAGACGTCACTGAGCTTTCCATTGTGAATCACTTGGCATGTAGCCTCATCATATAGCATATAGCTGTTGTTGAATGAGGTTTCTCAAAGTTTGTGATACTAAAACCGTAGTGTTGAAGCAGCTGCCTGCCAAATTACTTGTCGGTCAATGCCTCGATTGAAGGCCTCTTCAAAATCGATGATGTTGAGGTAGAGATTTGACTGTCATTTTATGCTCTGTTTTGTGATGATGTGTAGCGTAGTGTTGCAATTTGATCCACACATGATTTGTTCTTCCTGAACGCAGTCAGCCAGCCTGTTCCGGTCATCGTTTTGAATCCAGTGCATGTTTTAGTCTCTCCAGGATGATCGGGCATAATATTTAGTTTGCTAGGGGTGGACAGTGGTGGAGCATGAATGCGTGTCAGTTCATGTAAAGACTTATGCTGCCATTCTTTTGAATTTTGATAAGGTAGCCCTTCCTCGAATCGATCAGCAGGTACTTTCCCTTCCTTCCTTCCTTCCTTCGTTGGAAACTTTCTGTAGTAGTGTTGTGAGCGTGTTCGCTGTTGTCTGTGCGTCTGTTTCCAGTGCTTCTGACGGAATTTCATACGGTCCTGCTGCTTTCTCGGATTTCAGCAAGTTTATGGTGTGGTGTTCAGGACTTCACTTCTGGTTTTGTCGGAGGGGATGTGTTCACTGATAGTTCTGTGGGTGGGCTGCTGGTGGTATTTGTGGACGAGTTGCAGGTGGTGGTGGTGGTGGTTGTTGTGGTGGTCGGTTGAAGAGTTTTTTGAAGTGATCAGCCCATCGTTCCCTTTGTGTCTCCTCTTTGGCTGTAACTAGGTTTCCTTCATTGGTTTCATCTGAGTTGATCGCTGCCCTCCCAGATAGTAACCTGGTTATCTGATATAGTGTTGTCAAGTCTGTGTTCCTCCTACCTGCAGCCTATTGTGCTTGACTTGCCAGTGTGTCGTAGAAGTGTCTTTTGTGTTTGCACGCACTCTTCTTCACTTCCTTGTTCATTGTAGTGTTTTGTGGGTTGTGTTCAGTTCCTCTTTTCCTTGTTCATCCCTGCACTGCACTGCACTACACTTCACTGGTTTATCTTCTGCTTCACTATCACTATATCATCATCATCATCACCATCACCATCACCATCTCCATCACCATCACCATCACCATCACCATCTTCCTCTCCCTACTCTATCAGCTTCCATGTGTCCGTCGAGATTCATTCCATTCCATTCCACTCCTTGCCTTGCATTGCGTTGCCTTGCCTCGTTTCCTCTTCCTTCCTAACAGGGTTACACAGGTTTCTCTCCACATTGCTTTCAAAGAGTTCCAGTGTTCTTCCACACAGGTCTCTTCGAGGATGTTGTTCAATATCTCGCATTCTGTCCTGATGGCTGGCCGACGTGAAGATGTCCTTTGTAGTTTCGTGCTTCACTGCAGTTTGTGTTCTAGGTGTTCAACTTGAACTGTGGTCGTCTGTCATCAACTTCTCTGAATTGAAGGCTTTCAACTTGATTTTGAAGATAGGTTCCTTGCACTAAATAGTCGAGTGGAGTGGAGTGGATCTGCATCTGCTCATCTTCTTGATCTAGTGTGTGTTCTTCAGATAGAGATGAAGTCGATCTGATTTTTAGTGTGTCCTGGTATCTGGTGAAATCCAAGTCGCTTCTCGAATATCCTTGTGTTTGTTTGTACACAGTGCCTCAAATCACCAAATCATTAAAGGTGCAGAATTCCGCAAACAGTTCTCCATTCTGATTCATCATTTCACCGAGTACTTCTCGATCCACGATAAGTTCTCTTTCTGTGTTATCTGCTCCCAGTTAGGCACTGATGTCACTCCACCCATTAGAATGCATTTTGATGTCGCCAACTGATGTGGGGTGTTGTCCAGCACTGACTGATTGCAGTTGTCTGTAGAATTCCTCCTTCTTCTCTTCATCTGCATTGTTTATTTGTAGGTGAGTAGTGTAGAGTGGGGTAGCGTAGCATTGTGTGATTGTGACCTTCCTTCCCTCTGAGTTGAATCTTGGTGTCACGATGCCGATGCTGGAGGAGATTGTTTCTCACTGCATGAGAGAGAGCCTTCGATGCTGTTGAGGACATCATGGTAGTCACTCGAAAACTCAGTGTGCTGTGCAGGAGGTTGTCGTTTGGGTGACAATATCGGAGTAGATTATTGACTCGTTTCCAGTTGACATTTTGGAGAGTCCACTTCCATTCTACCTGTGGATTCCTCTCAGATTTCAAGCACTTCTATGTTTTACCTTCTCATCTGTTTGGCAATGTGTGAGGTTTAGCAAGGCAGCTTCAAACATTGTGCGGACATTCCATGTCTCCATTCTCACTTTCGCGTTCATGGAGAGAGAGAGAGAGAGAGAGAGGTGAGACATCAGCGAATTGGCTTTTTGAATGCTTTCACCAACTGGCGTCATTTCTTCTTTCCGATTGCAGTGAGGAATAATTTTATTTCTCTTTTTAATATTTTCTTTGTGCTTTAGAGTTTCTTCTGCGATTGGATTAGTTTTGCAGTGTATGGTTTCTAACCGTATGCTGAACCTTCCCTTTTTATCCGGGCTTAGGACAGGTGAATAACTATTGAACTATATTTAGAGTCGAGGTTAAGCAGCTTCTGATGATCGTGGAAATTATGAGTGTCCTAGAAAAGATTACATGCGCATTGCCATATCTTCGTTGAAGTCCTTATCCGCTTCTTTTGTGCAATAGCAATGATTCCTCTACCGACCTAACCATTTTTAGCGGTTGCTGACCAATATTTGTAGTTCACATAACTTATGTTGCCTGTGTGAAACTTACTGTCTTTCTAAACGACGTCATCAGAACTGACTTCATTTTAAATTCATGCAGGTCAATGAACACAGCACAACCAAGGCAGATAATCAAGTTATGAACCGCTGATACATTAAATCAGTTTGCTTCTTGGTTCGATAGTAATATCATAAGCTTTCGAACTGTGATTCACAGAATATCAAAGTAATGAAACCATCATCATTAGCTAAAAATCATCAGCATGTTTCTTCTCATGGGAGAAGTTACATATCAACAACCGCTCACTCTAAACGGTACTGTTGTCTGACATGTACATACAAAAAGTGTAACTACAACGTGAGCAACTATTCATGTTGACAGAGCTTTTCGCAAAATGAGTTCGACAAATTAACCTACTGTGTCAGTTCTACCTATGTAATTATGTACTATATTGCCTCCTACCGTCTATTATATAAGTTTATTCATTTATCTTTTGCTTAAAAATGTTTCTATTCATTTAGACTAGTTCAGTACAGGACGATGAAGATGTAAGTTATAAATCTTTCGAATATATATATATATATATATATATATATATATATATATATAATCTCTTTTCTCCATAAATACTTCACATTCCACCACTCCTAGTGCTTCTGGTGGCATTCAGCATGACCTCCAATATCCAGATTCTGAACTCGGTAGGGCTCATAACATTAAAATTTATTTGCAATCTAGCGGAAAGTCATACTGTCTAGGAAATCTTAATCTACACTGCACAATGCTGTATTCAAGCATTGACTATGGAAATATTTAAGCTGTGACCATTTCTCTGTAAAACTAAATTTATTCCACTAACCATACATATACATCATGTGGTGTTCAGTATTATGTTATATATTCTAATTTAGCAATCTATGTTTTTGATAAGCTTATCGTGCAGAGAATTTAACCAACTGTTTAATCCAATAACTTGAAAATATTTAACGCCAAATATTACATGATATAATGCAGATTGAAAAGGAAATATATTGATGCTTAGTAGGTGTTCCTTGTAGAATTCATTAGCATCACACAAAGATGAATCCATCATAGTTGAGTTGAGCATATTATTATTATTATTATTATTATTATTGTTTGTCCCTTGGGTTCCTAATGGAACATAGGGATTCAGTATCATGTCTCCAGTACACTCTGTTCTCTGCAAACTTTTGAACCTGGTTCCACGACAGCCCACAACCTCTCATTTCTTCCTTACATTATCTCTTCCATGTCACCCTCAGCTGTGACGCCCAACTCGTCACTTCCCATCTAGGTTCCACTCGAGCAACTGGCCTGACACATGATGTCCCCAGTCGGCCGAGTTGAGCATATAATTGATTAGAATTACTTTTTCTAAATAAAATATGCTTTTAACTGGATGTCTTACACTGACACTGCATACAATTATAAATTTATTAGCTGATAATAGACTGAAGAAAACAATACACGTTATTCATAGTATTTAAGAAAATGGTCACCAAATGGATTATTTGAACCATCTTATTATTGGTAAACTGATTTTCAATTACTATGAATCCGTTTTCAATAAATCGAATTACTGGCAAATCGATTTTGTGAGAAATAATCATATTATTATTATTACCATTAATATTATTGTCACTGACTGCAACAGTGGGTGATGCAGATTAGAATATCAGAGGGGACATCAGCTCCCTTGAGATTGTAGATGCACCTTGCTAACGAGTGCCAACGACCAGGAAACCTAAGTCGAGTAAGAGTTTCTTCTCATCACGTTCAACCAGCTTACAAATTTAAGTCAACAAACCAAGTGGAAATGGAATGGTTATATCCATTTCAACAGTAATGAGTAAATGTACAGTTAAGTAATTTTAGGATTGAAATTGCTAAGCTATTTATCATCGAAGATTTTACCACAGATGAAGAGATAAACAAGTGTATACATGTATATATTAAAATAAATAATCGTAGACCTTTTGATAAGGTCATTTTAACAGTCAATGGTATGACTTTCATAAAACAGAAAGTCTATTTCTTCTTCCAAAGTTTTGAGCTCATAATATACAATGCGATCACGCAGACAGATTGCAAAAGGTACTTACTACATTAACCTACAGTTCAGTATCCTATGCGTTGCTACCGAAACAAATGTAAGGCCTTGTTCGCTACCAGGTTTAATGACATTGAACAAAGTCTGTAATTTAATTCGACTGAATATCTCACTGGTCATTAGGTTTCAATAACTGTAATTTTATAACTGTTAACTGTTTTATTTATATTCCAGAATACTGTGAAGTAAAGTTTTTCAATTCCAGTTTCACAGAATTGATAGGAACATAAGACTGAGTCTGTAATTAAGAAGATTTTTCATAAAAATCAAAGACAGAATGTATTAGCTTGTAATGTTCTGTTGTTAAATGGACATAATCGATCGGCCATTACTGGTATATGGGCTCCTGTGCGAAAGCCACTATATTGTCAGTAGTTTCAGTCTGATAATGTTGATGAATAGCGGTTGGCAGTGGAATTCAGGATGTGCATTTCTTTCTATATAGGAGTCATCAAATGAATGTATCTGCCTCTTAGTGAATGTTGTTGTTGCCTCTGAGACTGGAACCTAGAACCTTTCTTCAGCCTACTGAGTCATGATAGCTGCAAAGTCAAGACCATACTAATCACAGAACTGTCTGTTATGACTCAGTAATCCAGGGGATAACTCTCTGGCTGGTTCCAGCCAGCCATAGAGAGAACACTATCACTCACTGGGAGGTAGTTACAGTCAGCTGGTGAATCCTAAATAAGAAGAAACGTGCATCCTGGATTCGGCTGCTAGACACTACCCAGTATTACTATGAAAAGCATGAAATGATAACCTCTCATCCTTAACCTACATTCCTTCTTTCACTTAATACTCAGCTTATTTCTTCTGATAAACTAATTTTCTCGAGTAAGGGAATGATTTCTGATTATTTAACCTGATAAACAAAGAATGAGATGTCTTTAATAGTACATCAATAAAATATTTATTTTGAGGGAGTTGTGGAGATTTGGAAATATTTCAAGTTGTTATTCATCGTAGACTGACATCAGTTGGAGGAACAAAGGAAACCTGGGAGCACTGGACAGCTGTTTCGTCCTAGTATGGGACGTGGGTGCGCACTGCTGAGGAGTTCCATACTAGGACGAAACATCTGTCCAGTGCTCCCAGGTTTCCTTTGTTCCTCCAACTGATATCAGTCTACGATGAATATTTATTGCCGTTAAGTTCATTATTATATAGCCAACGCTTTGGGAATAAGTAGTTCGGAAAACTTTGGCATCAAATTAAGATGATAGCTGAAGTTAAAATAAACCTAATTCACAGATAAGGTTAGCAACTCGAAGGCGAATGGTTTAAATCCAGCAGCTACCTATATCTCCCTCTAACTTCCACCATTTCTCCACTGACAATAGATCCAGTCTTTTCAGCCGTGATTGTCTACAAGAAATGATGACTAGTAGGTAATCAGTGTAGCTGTATAACCCTTGTTGTTCATCACTGATCGAAGTCTATTATTCACGTTTGCAGTATGATCAAAGAGTTAAATGACACACCTCTCATCATCTATCAGCAACAAACCAAGATTATCTTCATCATAATGAGAATAGAACTTGAGCACTGTAGTGGAGTATAATTTCTTTATAGTTGTCCCAGTGGCCTTTTAGATAATGCCTTGGCTTTTGTGGTAATGAGTTCTTGGTTCAAGTCTCAGTAGGAATATCATCACTCACTGAGGTTCAGGCAGATCCGGCTGATGAGTCCCATGTAAGACGAGACGTACGTCCTAGATTCCGCTGCTGGATACCACCAAGCAAATAAAAGATAATGAATGATCAGGTAATACCGAGACGTCTCTATGGCAGCCCATTTACCAACAGAGGTCAATCAGTTTCCTTAAGGCTGGAGATATACATTGCTAAGGAGTACCTCCAATCAACTGAAACCTTTTAAAGTGCAGCGCGATGATGACCGTAGTAGCTTAGTGGTTAATTTACAGAATGATCGATAGGATTCGGTCAGTATGCAGAAATGAATAAGATTAAATCGGTTACTCTTTGATGATGCATTCCACTCAAATAAACAGGTAATCATCAGTTCTTCAAGTAACTGGCATCTTGTCAACTTAGATGTAACCAAAACTAAGGTACTCATGAATAACTTGGCAAAAAACTGAGTTAGTCTTGACGTGGAATTCGCTTCTGAATGCGTCACTAAAAATTGCATAATAGTTTTCATAATATGCTTCACATGAGTAGGTCCGAACACTTGCACACCTGTGCCAAAAGAAAACAGAAAGTTGAATTTAGGGGGTTTGTGAGGACTTATAGATTTTTTTTCCAAGTTGGTATTCATCATGGACTGTCTTCAGCTGAAGGAATATTGGAAACCTGACAGCACTGGACGGCTGTTTTGTCCTAGTGTGGGGCCTTTCAGCAGTGTGCGCCCACGACCCCGCCAGGGATCAGATCCAGCACATTACCATTGACCCACTGGATCAGAATCCAATGATCCATATTTCCAACTTCTGTCAGTTCACGACATAGCGTGACCGCCACCCAACATCATCGTTGAGTATTTGTCCTTACAGCCACCAGCTTTGTCCCACTGGTCACGACTTCTCACTGGAACTTCGGGAATCTCCTTTCGAAGCTAGTCACCAATAAGCACTAGTTCAATTGAATCTGGGGGGATTGTGGGGATTACGAAGTAACATGCTGCCCACAGGACCTGAATGTCATGGGTTCCATCCTTGGTAGGGTCGTGGGTGCGCACTCCTAAGGTGTCCCATACTAGGACAAAACAGCTGTCCAGTGCTCCCAAGTTCCCAGTGTTCCTCCAAGTGATGTCAGTCCACGATGAATACCAACTTGAAAAAGCAGGAAGTTACGAAGGTATCTTGGTCAATAATGGACTGGATGGTTTGAAAAAAACTTGGGCACCGAGTTAGTATGATTCATTGTATAGGATGTATTTTTACTTGTGTAATCCCAGCGTAGTATATTAGAACAAATAACAAAATAAACAAATATTTTGTATTATTCCTCAACGTTTCCATCTTGTTAGGAAGATCCTTTTCAGGAGTATGAATCTGACATTAAGTTTTCAGGTTAATATTCAAGTTTTGGTACAGAAAGTGGTGACCTTTACAATCATCCAATTACATAGTGATATGGAGCAAAGATCAATGTGATGCAGGTGAGTGAATAAGCAACTCGGTCAGAGAGGTTTTTCCGTTGTGCGAGTAAGGTGGAACAAAAAAATAGGGTTGGGGAAATTTTTTAGTTCATCTATGAAAAGTACAATGGGGTTGTGAGACATCAAGGGTGAGAAAGAATAGATTACTATTTCAAGTTGTTATTCATCGAAGACTGACATCACTTGGAGGAACAAAGGAAACCTGGGAGCACTGGACAGCTGTTTCGTCCAACTAGTATGGGACTCCTCAGCAGTGCGCACCCACGACCCCACCCACCAATGATCGAACCCGCCACCTTCAGGTTCCGCGGCCAGCGTGTTACCATTGAGCTAGCCACTGGGTCACAATCCAATCGTCCATATTCCCAACTTCTGTTAGCTCACGATATATAGCGCAACCGCCACCCAATGTCATCGTTGAGTATTTGTCCTCACGGCCATCAGGCTTTGACTCCACCGGTCACGACTTGTCATTGGAATTTCGGGAATACTTCTCGAAGCTAGTCTCCATTGAGCACCAGTTCAATTAAATTTTTGAGGGGGTTGTGGAGATTTGGAAATATTTCAAGCTGTTATTCATCGAAGACTGACTATCCAGTGCTCCCGGGTTTCCTTTGTTCCTCCAACTGATGTCAGTCTTCGATGAATAACAACTTGAAATATTTCCAAATCTCCACAAGCCCCTCAAGAATAGATTACTAGTTTGGAAGGGTGAATATTTGAAGATGAGACAATATATCTTAAATAAATAATAATAATGATAACCATAAATGTACTTTTGATAACCCTTGAAGTATGAGTGATAACAAAATGGATTATGTTATGGTTCATCGAATGTATATGACTCAGAGAGTAGTGTAAAATTGATGAAAATAGTAGATCAATAAGGTGTATGTAATAGGACTAGACAATCTACCTTCTCTTCAGATATTATTTATAACTGCCTAGGCGAGTCATTAATGTTTGCCATATTAGTGGGATGTCTAACCCATCTTTTCTGTTGACCGAAGAAGCATATGAGCAGATGTGCAAAGCTTCTGCAATGGTCCGTTCTTTGTGAGAAAGAAAACCCTTTTGCAGAACTTTTGTCTGTTCGAATGATATTTTATGACCTGAATATAGGGCATGAGCTGCGATAGCAGAGCTTTTTTCAAGTTTTTCTAGATCATAGGAATTTTTTGGTGGCCTTTTGGAATTTCTACCGTGTTCGGCTAGACGTGTTAGTACTTGACGTGATGCCTCTCCAGTGTATGTGGCATCACACTCACTACAGTCTACCTTATGAACACAGTTTTGTTGTTCCAAATGAGGAATCGGATCTTTTAATTTACACAGGTGTGAGTGTAATGTATTCGTCACCTTAAAGAATACTCTGATGTTGTAACTGTTAAGGATACGTCTTATTTCCTCTGAAGTGGATGTTCGATAAGGAAATACTATAGTACTTATCCAATCTTTATGGCTTGACTTTTTCATATTTTTATTCGATCCGTTTTAATAGTTTGTCTGGATAGTTATTTTGTCTTAAGACTTCCCGAACAAGTCGCCTATCTGCTTGCTGAGATTCCACTTTATTTGGTATCCTTTGCAGAAAGTTACCTTGATAAATTATGTCATTGGTCTCTAACCCACTTCAGTCATAGTTTACTCTGAGATATATATAACGTGCTGCCGCTAACTCAAGTAAAGCCTACTTATTGCGTTGTTCACTAAACAAACGCATGTTTCATAAGTGAATGATATCAACTAGTCATAATATACTTGGTTTCATTAAAAACTGATCATAAGTGTCATGAATCATACTGAAAGAAAATTAAAGTAGCAATCAAACTTCAGCCCATAACCCATAAACTGCCAGACTAAGGTTTGTACCAACTAAATTGTTTTAATGTTCTATAAAAAGGATTCGAATAACTAGTGAAAAATCATTGTATCATGAGATAATCTTTTCAGATCTAAGTTTTCATATTCTAAAGCCATTCTCATTAGCGTTTTGTTTTAGAATCTACCTCCTAAAATTCTTGAAACACACGTATATTGATATGGCTATCAAAGAAAATGACTTCTGTTTATGAAATAGAGATCTGAGAATATTTAAAGTTATGACTGAAATGAGTAACGGTGTAAGTTTTAGCCAGTGTAAATCGAGTTATGAAAAATGTTAAATCCACTTAATATCCAATCAATCAGAAATAAGAAAATGACTAGCAGTTGAACAAATAGTGAACTTGGAAGAAAAAAACTGATCCACATTATGACTAGTATAATTGCTTTTATTTTATACCGTCGTTGATTGGACCGAATTGACCAGTCTTTATATTGGCATATGGGCTCCTGGGTGGATGCCTCAATATTACCTGTGTTTTAATTATGGTAATGATGGATAGTGGCTAACAGTGAGATTCAAGATGCACATTTCTTCCTATCTGAAACTCACTGGCCAGTTGGATGTATTTGCCTCCCAGTGAGTGTTGTTCCCACCGGGATTCGAACTCGGGAGAGGTCGTTTCAAGCGCCAGAGCGTTATCCACTAGTCGGTATAATACAAGCAATTAAACTAAAACTACACCCATCGCACAAGACGCGGCTATCAGGACTCGGTGGTCTAGTGGATAGCCCTCTGGCGTTTGAAGAGATCAGTCCCGAGTTCGAATCCCAGTGGGAACAACGTCACTCACTGGGAGGATGGTACATCCAGCTGATGAGTCCCAAATAGGACAAAATACGTGCCTTGGATTCCACCGCTAGCCACTATCCAACATAACCACATAATGACTACCGGTGAATGCATTCTTAAGGTGGCATTTCACCACTGACTGAAATCATTTTGAGAACCACTAAAAACCTACGAGCACTTGACAACTGTTTCTTCCTAGTGTGGGACTCGTCAGCAGTACTCATCCACTAGTAAAATCAGATGAAAATCAGATACGATAAACTGTAGGTGACTGGCAGGTTATACAGTAGTTCCCAGAAATACACTGCATTTACTCCTCGAAATTCTTAGAAAATTGTGTAGCAATTAACAGATGGGTAACTTTCAGAATGCTCATAAATGTGTTAGTCAACCCTAGTAGTTCACTTCTAGTCAAAAGAAACTAAATCAAAGCATACAAGTGTCAAGTCTGCAAATCTGTCTCTAAAAAAGATTACCAGATTATACAGCTTTGAATCTCTAAGACAGTACAGGTACATCCAGTTGACGAGTCCCAAATACGACAAAATGAGCATTCTTGATTCCATTGCTAGCCATCATCCATTTTTATTATAACAGTAAGATATTCTAAGGCGATTGGTACAGTTTCATGGTAAGTGCCAACAGAGGTAAGATAAAGAACCAATGCTGAAAATCACTTGTGTCTAAAAGTCTATAAACAGATGTATAGGATATTTTAAAGACAATATGCCTCACAGACTGCAATCAGTTGGGGAACTTTTGAGAGTCTGAGAGGACTAGACAATGGTTTAGCCTTGTTATTGACTCTTCGGAGGTACGCATCCGCAGTGAATACCACCTCAGAAATAAAATCTTCATTCACCTCAGAATAAAATATTATTAAATGTTAGAATATAACAAAAAGAGAATGATAATACTTCATCTAGTATCCATGCAAAAATTGTAGACTTCCAAGAAGTTGATAAAAAAAATTACACTATGAAAAATAACAATAACTTGAAAATTTCTAAAATTCTAATGAAAAATCAAGACTGACACCAAAATATGCACATCAACCTTTAATATATCACAAAAACGTTAAAAACTGAATACATTTACCAGTGAATAATTTTTATTTTAGGAATATACAAACAAAGATGACAATCAGAGAACTACAGATGACACTGGAAAATATAACATACAAACTAAATATCCAACCACTATAGAAAATAAATTGAAAGAGAAAGAAACCAAAAACATCTCAGTATATAAGTATAGATACATCATGAAAGAACCAAGAACAGATGGACTAATTGATATAGTAGATTTAGCGGAAAATCTTATCATAACAGGGGCAGTAAAAATAACCAATGAACTAGCCATCATACCGAATGGAACAGTAATTGCGACAAAACCAGAAATTAAAAATCAACGTTATATCATAGCCGAAAATATAACACAAACCGGAAAAAAAGAAATATTCGACACCTATACGGGTAGCCGAATACAAATGCCTATGTAGACCAACAAGGAATAATATACTTACCAAACGAAACAATGGTAATACCAATCTCAAAAAAACACGACAGGTACATCATAACCTACGACAATAAAACATCAACAACACTCATATTCGATCGCAGAAAAGGTGAAATATTAAGAGACGCAAAAATACAAAACAATGGTATGATCAAATTGGCGTCTGGACAACTCGTGGCACCCTCATCCAGAGAAGGCTCTAAATACATGATAGTCGCTGACGAGGATGGTGAAACCCTCCGAGTGTACGACCGCTTCTCTGGGGAACAAATAGACGATGCACAAGTCGATGCCAATGGGTTGATACAATTCGAGGATGGACGAATGGCAATCGAGCCCTCTTCCAAACTAGATAGATATGTGATAATTCAAGATCCGAACAGTGATGAGAAATTAGTGTTCGACAGACGCACAGGTGGTCATATCAGGGATGCTGTTTACAGTGAAGATGGACTGATTCACTTCCCAGATGGCAGACGTGTTGCACCGGGGTCGACTGACAACAGCTCACAATACCTGATCCATGTTGATCCTCTGACAAACGAACACCTGGTTTTCGACAGACACACTGGTGAGATGATTGAAGGAGCTTCGGTTGATGCTCACGGTTTGATAATTCTGCCCGATGGTAAATTGCATCTAGATCAAGATCGAGTCAAGTACAGGTATATCGTTTTCGAGGATACAAACGAAAACTCCACCCTTGTAATAGATACGAAAACTGGTCAGAAAATTCTCGGAGCAGCTGTGTTGGCTAACGGGCTAGTCAGACTACCCGATGGGAAACTGGTTGCACCAAGCTCAAATGTAAGTGCGAATTACATGGTGGTCGGAACAACAGAAGAGGGTCAAGATCAAATGATTTTCGATCGTCGGACAGGTGACCAAGTAACAGATGCTTACTTGGACAAAGATGGTGTGATACACTTACCAGATGGAAGCTTAGCCATCGCATCCTCCATGACCGAAGGTCGCTATCTAGTAGCACAAGACAAGCTGACAGGAGACCCCGTCATTTTCGACCGTCGTACTGGAACAGAACTCACGAACGCCACACTCCACCACAACGGTATGATCAAGTTGGCGTCTGGACAACTCGTGGCACCCTCATCCAGAGAAGGCTCTAAATACATGATAGTCGCTGACGAGGATGGTGAAACCCTCCGAGTGTACGACCGCTTCTCTGGGGAACAAATAGACGATGCACAAGTCGATGCCAATGGGCTGATACAATTCGAGGATGGACGAATGGCAATCGAGCCCTCTTCCAAACTAGATAGATATGTGATAATTCAAGATCCAAACAGTGATGAGAAATTAGTGTTCGACAGACGCACAGGTGGTCATATCAGGGATGCTGTTTACAGTGAAGATGGACTGATTCACTTCCCAGATGGCAGACGTGTTGCACCGGGGTCGACTGACAACAGCTCACAATACCTGATCCATGTTGATCCTCTGACAAACGAACACCTGGTTTTCGACAGACACACTGGTGAGATGATTGAAGGAGCTTCGGTTGATGCTCACGGTTTGATAATTCTGCCCGATGGTAAATTGCATCTAGATCAAGATCGAGTCAAGTACAGGTATATCGTTTTCGAGGATACAAACGAAAACTCCACCCTTGTAATAGATACGAAAACTGGTCAGAAAATTCTCGGAGCAGCTGTGTTGGCTAACGGGCTAGTCAGACTACCCGATGGGAAACTGGTGCACCAAGCTCAAATGTAAGTGCGAATTACATGGTGGTCGGAACAACAGAAGAGGGTCAAGATCAAATGATTTTCGATCGTCGGACAGGTGACCAAGTAACAGATGCTTACTTGGACAAAGATGGTGTGATACACTTACCAGATGGAAGCTTAGCCATCGCATCCTCCATGACCGAAGGTCGCTATCTAGTAGCACAAGACAAGCTGACAGGAGACCCCGTCATTTTCGACCGTCGTACTGGAACAGAACTCACGAACGCCACACTCCACCACAACGGTATGATCAGTTGGCGTCTGGACAACTCGTGGCACCCTCATCCAGAGAAGGCTCTAAATACATGATAGTCGCTGACGAGGATGGTGAAACCCTCCGAGTGTACGACCGCTTCTCTGGGGAACAAATAGACGATGCACAAGTCGATGCCAATGGGTTGATACAATTCGAGGATGGACGAATGGCAATCGAGCCCTCTTCCAAACTAGATAGATATGTGATAATTCAAGATCCGAACAGTGATGAGAAATTAGTGTTCGACAGACGCACAGGTGGTCATATCAGGGATGCTGTTTACAGTGAAGATGGACTGATTCACTTCCCAGATGGCAGACGTGTTGCACCGGGGTCGACTGACAACAGCTCACAATACCTGATCCATGTTGATCCTCTGACAAACGAACACCTGGTTTTCGACAGACACACTGGTGAGATGATTGAAGGAGCTTCGGTTGATGCTCACGGTTTGATAATTCTGCCCGATGGTAAATTGCATCTAGATCAAGATCGAGTCAAGTACAGGTATATCGTTTTCGAGGATACAAACGAAAACTCCACCCTTGTAATAGATACGAAAACTGGTCAGAAAATTCTCGGAGCAGCTGTGTTGGCTAACGGGCTAGTCAGACTACCCGATGGGAAACTGGTTGCACCAAGCTCAAATGTAAGTGCGAATTACATGGTGGTCGGAACAACAGAAGAGGGTCAAGATCAAATGATTTTCGATCGTCGGACAGGTGACCAAGTAACAGATGCTTACTTGGACAAAGATGGTGTGATACACTTACCAGATGGAAGCTTAGCCATCGCATCCTCCATGACCGAAGGTCGCTATCTAGTAGCACAAGACAAGCTGACAGGAGACCCCGTCATTTTCGACCGTCGTACTGGAACAGAACTCACGAACGCCACACTCCACCACAACGGTATGATCAAGTTGGCGTCTGGACAACTCGTGGCACCCTCATCCAGAGAAGGCTCTAAATACATGATAGTCGCTGACGAGGATGGTGAAACCCTCCGAGTGTACGACCGCTTCTCTGGGGAACAAATAGACGATGCACAAGTCGATGCCAATGGGCTGATACAATTCGAGGATGGACGAATGGCAATCGAGCCCTCTTCCAAACTAGATAGATATGTGATAATTCAAGATCCGAACAGTGATGAGAAATTAGTGTTCGACAGACGCACAGGTGGTCATATCAGGGATGCTGTTTACAGTGAAGATGGACTGATTCACTTCCCAGATGGCAGACGTGTTGCACCGGGGTCGACTGACAACAGCTCACAATACCTGATCCATGTTGATCCTCTGACAAACGAACACCTGGTTTTCGACAGACACACTGGTGAGATGATTGAAGGAGCTTCGGTTGATGAATATGGTGTTATCCACCTTCCTGATGGTGATTTATTTCTGTTGCCTCATGTCGTTTATCCTCGATATATTCGAGTTTCAACAGGGTTGTCCAATTCTTCCGTGGTTTTGGATTCTTCGACTGGTGAATTTCTAAGTGGATCACTCTTGGGTGGATCTCTTTTTCGTTTAGATAACGGGGATGTTATTGCTATCGGTAATGTGACTGGAGGTCGTTTCGTTGTTTATTGGGGTGAAAATAATACTCTTCCTCGTATTTATGATACATTGTTGGGTAATGTTGTCCCTGGATCATTTCTTCGCCCTGATGGTTGGATTGAATTTTCTGATGGTTTGGTTTTTCCTCTTCTTGATGATGTTTCTACTGGTCAACGTTATTTTATTTTCCGTAATACTTCATCAACGCTGGACATAGTCTACGATGCTATATCAGGGCGACCTGTTTTCGATTCATTTGTTGATGAAAATGGCAAAATTCATTTAGCAAATGGATCTATTATAAATCCTATAGCTTATAATTATTCAGTGTTACCAACTGACGATGTTTCTCATCCTGATTATGCATCGATACTTCGTGAGCGTAAAAATGCTTCATTATTTCAAATTGTTTCATTAAATTCTACTACTGTAACGGTTAGTTAATAATGTATACCAAGGTGTAATGATGTTTGATAGTTAATACCATGCTATGTCATGCACAATTTGCCACAGTATAGTCTGCTTTTATCGCCAAAACTCATTTAGCATCATAAAACTATATAACGTGCACATCTGTATGGCAGTATTATTGCATAGTTTCAATTATTTACAAAAGCTGCTTCTTAAGTGGTTTTTCATGATATTTTTTTCTCTTTTCATCAATTGCATATCTTTTAATGTTGGCTGTAAATAAGCTAAATTGAAAAGTTGTTATGTCATTCATTGTATGCACCTTTTCACAGCTTCATATCTTGTTATTGAAGAGTACTTACATTTTTTTGTCTAGTAAGTGTTTTATTACTTCGTTAGAGAAAATACTTCGCTACAAGTTATTCCGTATATTTGGAGCAGAGATCATTCAGTCGATTGCTTTTAGTTACACTTACTTTAGCCATCCGCCTACACATTATGCATATCATTTTCGGATAACTTAGAGGGGACCGTACCTTCAAATGAATCGAAAAACAATTTAAGGTAAACTTTTACTAAGTTTGAAGTATATAAGAAAGATGAAAGTGATGATTAAACTTGACGTAAACACTCACTTTGATATCCTGTGTCCGGTAGGCTTTAACCTTATCGTCTCATTATTACTACTAGTTATTTCTAATACCTTCAAATATATTACTTCGAAAGATACTGAACTCGAAAAATCTTTTTGGGAAAATAGTTGTCACACTTTCATTTTTCACCAACCACTAGTAACTATCAGTCACTGTTAAATGCCAATTATTTGAGAAATCACACCTTCATATGATACTTCTGTACACAAGGAATGCAGTTTGTAAGTAACATAACATGCACTCTGGTTGTCTGGTATGCACATCATTTTGCACGATGCTTGCTGATAAATATTTTCTCTATCTTTGTATGCATACTTGAATATTCTTCTCCTGCCTATTATTTGAGCTTATTTAGCAGTAAGTGTTTTTTTTTTTCAAATAATGATTACTTCTAACTTGTATTGTCTTTCATTTTTATAGAAACCTGAAGAAATGGATTTAATTTCTCCAGGTTAGTTTCTTTTAACGGATTATAATCTACGTAACCTTAAATTTTTAATATATTATCCGTGTCACCAATTAACCTGTAAATGTTTAACGTGGAATTCATTACACTATGATTTCATGCCTCTTGAGTCAACTATAATGATCAGCACATCACCTCAACTATCATCTGACAGCAAATTTATAGAGAGACAGATATGACTGACCAGTCACATACAACACAGTGTAAATCATTTTTGCATAGATTGAATTTATCAGTTCAGAAGTATATAACTTTGTCGATCTCTAAGCTGAATGGTTTAAAGTTGTAGTATAGTAGTAGTAGTAGTGTGAGTAGTAGTAGTAGTAGTAGTAGTAGTAGTAGTGTGAGTAGTAGTAGTAGTGCCAGTAGTAGGAGTAGTAGTAGTGTGAGAAAAAAGGTTGAAACAAGGTTTCTATCACACGATTTGACTTCTATGCGGACGTATTAATGCTGAGATAAGTTTATATGTTTCAACATGAAAAAAATAAAGACATTTTATAGAACGAATTACGCTCATTTCATTTCTCAACTTTTCATCAGCTGTAAAACGCTGAAAATCACTGATATTATGCATTAGTAACAAATAAATAAACTTTTTCTGTACACTTAGATTAGGTTTGTTTTCTCTAATCCACATAGCCTCAAATATGTGTAATGTGCGAGTGTGAATTCTATTCGAAAGATTTTCTGGAATGCGCTAGATGATACTGAATGCTTTGGTCTTGTCTATTACATGACCACTGCCGGCTAAATGTTACAGAATTGAACTTCGTCTTGACTTCACTTGTGATTTTCGTAACTATGACGTTAGGTGCTTGGCAACACGTTTGTTAAGCTGTTTAGTTGTACACCCGATATAGTTTTCTCCACAGGAGCAGCTGAATTGATAAATGCCGACAGAAGTCTAAGTAAATATCTTGCAAACAGAACCAGTGGGATCTGCTCCGATGACTTGATACAAAAGGAGTTGGAACACATTTATAATATCGTGCTACAAATGGGTTATCCGCATAGCTTCATCAAAAGATCCATGAACAAAATAAGCAGAAAATCTGTTCAAATGTTTATCCAAAAGGAATCAATATTCATGAAGCTTCAATTTAAAAGCGACGCGCCAAATGAAGTTTTATCCTACAGGCTGTCTACAGTCATCAGAAGAACCTTATATATGGTGCTAACCTCTGCTTAACATTTTCTAGTCGGCCGATAACTGTTGCTCAGATAAAAGACAAGCTGTTCATTTCTGCTACTTCTACGTACATTTATCAATTCAGCTGCTCCTGTGGAGAAAACTATATCGGATGTACAACTAAACAGCTTAACAAACGTGTTGTTAAGCACCTAACGTCATGGTTACGAAAATCACAAGTGAAGTCAAGACGAAGTTCAATTCTGTAACATTTAGCCGGCAGTGGTCATGTAATAGACAAGACCAAAGCATTCAGTATCATCTAGCGCATTCCAGAAAATCTTTCGAATAGAATTCACACTCGCATATTACACATATTTGAGGCTATGTGGATTGGAGTAAACAAACCTAGTCTAAGTGTGCAGAAAAATTTTGTGCAGCCTTTATCTCTGCCTTGGCTAGACAAAGGAACCTAATGGTATCCTTCTACGTCACAGCACAATACACATCCACCAAGCCCCAATTCGCCAAGGGAACTATGTTTCTCCTGCTCAATGAAGACATAAACCTTTCAGAACGCATGAGACTAAATGTTCAAGTCTGATGGAACTCATCGACCTTTGTCTGACAACATACTTCCAATTCAACGGCGAGATATACAAACAGATGGAAGTAACTTTAATGCGGTCACCGATATCCGGATTAATTGCAGAAGCAGTAATGCACAGACTGGAAGCCATCACTCTGCCTATGATCAAACCAAAAATTTGGATTCGCTATGCAGACGACACTTTTGTCATCATTAAAAAAGATTATATAGAAAACAGTCACAGTTTGATCAACAGTGTTTTCAATGACATGAAATTCACAATACAGATGGAATCAAACAACCAACTACCATTCATGGATGTTCCAGTCAGTAGGACAAATGCAGCAAAGCTGGAAACCCAAGTGTACAGGAAGCCAACACACACTGATCAAATACTAAACTAAAGTAGCAACAAACCAACAACACACAAAATCAGTTGCGTGCACACTCTATTGAAAAGAGCGAGAACACAGTGCAGTACAACAACTTCATGGAGAAATGAAGAAAATTACTTGATGTCCATCCTAAAGAAGAACGGCTACCCACGAAACTTTATCAGAAGATGCCTATCCGTGAATCATCAACTACAAAGTCATCGACACAAATCAACAAACCCACCATCCTACCGTACACAAAGGATATATCAGAAATCACAACAAGATTGCTGAGACCACTTGGAATTGGTGTGGCGCCTCATAAACCAACAAATTCCCTCCAAACACTATTATACAGACCAAAGGATGCAGCAACCAAAAAAGACAAAGCGAATATCATTTACAAAATCAACTGTAGTCAACACTACATTGGACAAAGTGGTCGCCGTCTTTGCCTTCGTCTTCGTGAACACTAATTGGCTATTAAACATCACGACATTTCGTCACTCATTTCGATGCACGTGAATAACAACCATGGACATGAATTCAATTTTGACAATGGAGAAATGTTGGAGGGAGAGAGGAAACACAAAGAATATCAGAGAACTTCTAGAAGCTTGTCATTCAGGTCAGTCAGTCAGCAATCAACAGATGTATGGAATGGACCCGATCTATCAACCAATAAGAAAAGTGATAAATGACAGAAAGGTGAGAGGTCAACCAGAGGAAAATCTATGCAGTCAGTTAATGACACAACAATCAAAGGAAACAAGCAATCACAGACCACATCGTCAGAGCAAGCTAATAAATCACTGACGGAGAGATGTTAACAACTCACTTTATACTGAAGTTAGTGCTGATGATGTCGTCTAGCAAGTTGATGAAAGCTCCACGACTAAACAACCCAGATGAGAGAACACAATATACCAAGACCATTCACCTCATCTACAAACATTCTCCATCATTAATAATAACTTCCAAGATTAATTCAGCTTTCATCTTCTTTCTCTCCCCCCTTTTTTTAACTATGTTTATTTGTTTAGACTTTGATTATCTACACATTTCATCCTTTAGTAGTACGTAACTTTTACTTTTCTAAGTTTTGATTGACGCTATTTGACTAAATAAATAAAAAGCGATATACTTCACGTGTTCCATGGGAAAGACTGACTTCAGAATTCATAGTGTAGTGGGCGTTGCTGATAACAACGGATATAAGTAGTACATATCGAGAGGGTGGCAGTAATCATAGGGAATTACCAACAATGGGTAAGGTTTCTGCCAAGAGCAACGCAGGGGACAACACAGGCGTATTACAGAGGATGCTGCTGATAAAAGTGTATGAAGAGCCGGTCAAGAGCAAATCAAGACAGGAACGGAGAGGAAACGAAGATATTTGCAAATGGTTGTGTTAGTGCAAGGAGTATCATATGTAACCACCACCATTCCCATGGCTCGTTGTAAACATTCCGTCGTGGAGTTGTCCTCTGATTCTTCAAAAGTGTATCAACGGCTCAAGGCAAATATAGAGAGGAGAAGAGTTGAAGTCAGAGTTGATTTAACAAACACCTGTATTACATAGTCGAAAGCGTCATTTTCAGAATTAAAGGCGCCATGAAATGTAGGAGTGGGTAGAAGTGCTATTTATGTGTTAGTCCTCACGTTGACAAACTCATGTATTGGAAATTCTGTCAATGAATCAGTCAGTGAACATATAAAAAAATAAGTCGAAACACAATGTAATCATGATTAGGTAGATGGGAAAGTCTAAGCGAATGGCAACTACTAGACTTTCTCAGGATATCCTAAAAAGTTTGTGCTTGAAAGATGAGAAAAGTTTTACAATTCTGGTAACCAAAAGATATAGGATTGAAGATAATAAGGCTTTTAAAATCATTAATATCTACAGAACAGTCTGGTTACTTCACTTTGTAGAAGCTGTTACTATCATCCGACTGTCACTTGACCTCTATATACAAAATGTTAGTGTAATCAACCTCGTATTGCTCTGGTAACGGTGTTTAAAGAATTTTGGTATGATCATCTTTTATGATATCCACCTATTATTAATATATTGTTATTTATCCTTTGGGTTCCAAATGGAACATAGGACTTCACTAGCACGTCTCCATTCCACTCTCTTTGCAAACTTTGAACCTGGCTCCACGACACCCCACAACCTCTCATTTCTTCCTGCCACCGTCTCCTCCATGTCACCCTCACCTCGCCTCGGACACCCAACTCGTCGTTTCCCATCTCGCTTCCACTCCAGCAACTGGCCTGACGCGTGATGTCCCCAGTCGGCCTTCTCAGTGTATGCCCAATCCATCTACACTTCCTTCCAGTGCATATTTGTTGAGCGATAGGTTCTTGCTTCGTTGCCAGTCAGCCAGAGTTCCTTGTTGCTCATTCTTTCTAGCCACCTGATCTTCAGTAATGAGCCAGTGTAGGTTGCAGTTGTTGATGAATGTCTGTAGTTTGTTGGAAATCTCTTTCACAATGCGCCAAGTCTATCAACCATCACATAGAAGCACTGACTTGATGTTGGTGTCGAAAATCCGGATATTGTTCCAAATGCTGAATGCAGTGCAGAAGATCTCCACACTGGTTTAAGGCTAATGAACGCCTGTCTTACTTTTCCAATTCTGACTTTGACATCTTCGTCTGTGCCGCCTGCAGTTGAAACAGTGTTTCCTAGATAGGTGAAGGAGGTTACTTCCTTTAAGTTTCTCCCGTTGGTGGTGATTGCAGCTTGTTGGTGGTGGTGGCATTGGTTGGGTATCACCATCACCGTCTTCGCTGCCTCTTCTATCAACTTGTTAGTTTTCGCCTGTAGATCTTCAAGTTTGTGTGACATCAGACAAGTCATCGGCGAAATCCAAATCTGCCAGGA